AGTCTGTCTGATGTAGGAGCAGTCTGTCTGATGTAGGAGCAGTCTGTCTGATGAAGGAGCAGTCTGTCTGATGTAGGAGCAGTCTGTCTGATGTAGGAGCAGTCTGTCTGATGAAGGAGCGGTCTGTCTGATGAAGGAGCAGTCTGTCTGATGTAGGAGCAGTCTGTCTGATGTAGGAGCAGTCTGTCTGATGCAGGAGCAGTCTGTCTGATGTAGGAGCAGTCTGTCTGATGAAGGAGCGGTCTGTCTGATGAAGGAGCAGTCTGTCTGATGTAGGAGCAGTCTGTCTGATGCAGGAGCAGTCTGTCTGATGAAGGAGCAGTCTGTCTGATGTAGGAGCAGTCTGTCTGATGTAGGAGCAGTCTGTCTGATGCAGGAGCAGTCTGTCTGATGTAGGAGCAGTCTGTCTGATGTAGGAGCAGTCTGTCTGATGAAGGAGCAGTCTGTCTGATGTAGGAGCAGTCTGTCTGATGTAGGAGCAGTCTGTCTGATGAAGGAGCGGTCTGTCTGATGCAGGAGCAGTCTGTCTGATGCAGGAAGCAGTCTGATGTCTGTCTGATGTAGGAGCAGTCTGTCTGATGAAGGAGCAGTCTGTCTGATGTAGGAGCAGTCTGTCTGATGTAGGAGCAGTCTGTCTGATGTAGGAGCAGTCTGTCTGATGTAGGAGCAGTCTGTCTGATGTAGGAGCAGTCTGTCTGATGTAGGAGCAGTCTGTCTGATGTAGGAGCAGTCTGTCTGATGCAGCAGCAGTCTGTCTGATGTAGGAGCAGTCTGTCTGATGTAGGAGCAGTCTGTCTGATGCAGCAGCAGTCTGTCTGATGTAGGAGCAGTCTGTCTGATGAAGGAGCAGTCTGTCTGATGAAGGAGCAGTCTGTCTGATGTAGGAGCAGTCTGTCTGATGTAGGAGCAGTCTGTCTGATGTAGGAGCAGTCTGTCTGATGAAGGAGCAGTCTGTCTGATGTAGGAGCAGTCTCTGTCTGATGTAGGAGCAGTCTGTCTGATGCAGCAGCAGTCTGTCTGATGTAGGAGCAGTCTGTCTGATGAAGGAGCAGTCTGTCTGATGTAGGAGCAGTCTGTCTGATGTAGGAGCAGTCTGTCTGATGTAGGAGCAGTCTGTCTGATGAAGGAGCAGTCTGTCTGATGTAGGAGCAGTCTGTCTGATGAAGGAGCAGTCTGTCTGATGTAGGAGCAGTCTGTCTGATGTAGGAGCAGTCTGTCTGATGCAGGAGCAGTCTGTCTGATGCAGGAGCAGTCTGTCTGATGAAGGAGCAGTCTGTCTGATGTAGGAGCAGTCTGTCTGATGAAGGAGCAGTCTGTCTGATGTAGGAGCAGTCTGTCTGATGAAGGAGCAGTCTGTCTGATGTAGGAGCAGTCTGTCTGATGTAGGAGCAGTCTGTCTGATGAAGGAGCAGTCTGTCTGATGCAGGAGCAGTCTGTCTGATGCAGCAGCAGTCTGTCTGATGACAAAGGGAATCAGACCTCATTGTGAGTCCTGTACCTAAGACCAAGAGGCGTGTGTCCCACCTGCAGTGCTCAGGGTCTTAAATACTGTTCACATGTTTCAACTGCTTTTTCCCTGACCAGAGATAGATCACAGGAGGAACACTTACCTGTGTGTTTATGTTGGTGTGTTTGTTACCGTGGCGACTAGGGCCCACGTGGAGCAATGCCTCTTCAGACCCGGATGCCTCGTCCGCCGATCCCTCCGCAGCAGCAGCAGGTCAGAGTGCCCCGTGTGCCCAGTCACAGTACTGCACATGTAACACACACTGACCACGCCCCTTTGTCCCACACAGGTCCCCACTCACCCCATGATGTCATCGCCCTCCCCCCTGCAGAGCCAGACCCCCCAGACCATGCCCCCCCCACCTCAGCCCTCACCCCAGCCGTCCTCTCAGCCCAATTCTGTGAGGTGAGACCAGTCAATTCAATGTATTTTTGTATGGCCCTAATCACAGCAGTAGTTTATCTTGGAGGACTTAACCCATTTCTTTTCATTGGGTCAAACTGACCAACGACAGCGATTAAAAAATACCCTAGATATGTATTTTTGGAGCTGAATTTTGATGATTTTTCCCATCTTGGCCAGCCCTGGGTCATTTGGACCCTTTTAGACCCTAAGTTACGGTATTTCTCTTCTACTTTTAATCACTGTGGTGGTTAATCCTGACCCGAATATAACACAAGGCAATTGAAGGCCCTCATGAAAAAGCTGTATGAATTCTTTTGCAGGCCCTACTTTTCACTATTCTAATTTTGAAATAATAACAGAATCATGCATCATTTTACTTTCGCTTCAGTTGTCTGTTACTTGTGTCTGAATTTTCAGACATTTCAGTAAAGTATATCATAGTGGAGATGCAGTGATATGCGATAAGTGATATAAATATTTAATAATAATAATTTATAACCTTTACAGAAAGTCTGCAACAATTATTTTAACCAAAATAGGCATGTGCATAAATTTAGGCACCACAAAAGATAATTTACTTAATTTAAATGGAGAACACACGCCACATCATCCCTGCACCACACGCACGGAAGAAGTGCAGCTTTTAACTGAATGCAAGCTTTTGACACTGCTCTTCACGCAGCGATAGGAGTGAACTGGGGTCAGTGAGAGACCTCATGGGCATTAGATTAATAAACAGTGAGAAGAACATTCGACATGACTCTAATTCTAACGCGTCAGCCTGAGCCTGAGTGATATGATAGAAACTGAACCTGGTGTCGGGCTCTGGACAATATATTCAGCTCTGGTGTACGGTGGACTCATTCGAGCCTAAATCCAGTGTTGTGTTCTACAGCTCTGGCCCTGCCCCCTCGCCTTCTGCCGGGTTCCAGCCGAGCCCGTCCCCCCAGGCCCAGAGCCCATCCACTGCACGCACCCCTCAGAGCTACAGCGTGTCCTCCCCTGGGACCCTCAACACGCCAGGTAAGCTCCACTGAAGGAAGCTGACAGAAGAACTGTGACTGGACACAACTGAAGCTGACAGAAGAGCTGTTTGACCGGCTCTCCTCTGGTCTCCTAGGTAACCCCAGCTCGGTGATGAGTCCAGGTCAGTCCCTGGAGGACCAACAGTACATGGAGAAACTGAAGCAGCTCAGCAAATATGTAGAACCACTGAGTCGCATGATCAACAAGATCGACAAGAACGAAGGTATGATACCAGTACTGTAGGGAGTACCAGTACTGTAGGGAGTACCAGTACTGCAGGGAGTAGGGATGTAAAAAACTATGAATTTTCATGACCGACCACCGAGCCTCATTAACCGGTTGAAACCGGTTAACCGCGTAGTTTAAAATAGTCCACGTTCTTTGAAATAACAGCCATTTCGAGCCGCGTACTTTTCATAAGTGCAGCTGAGCGTTCTACGGGATCAGAGCCGAGACAGCGGCGCCAAAACCCGCAACAGCTTTGGCACCTTTGCGCACAGAGAACTGCTGTTTTAATCTTCCCATTCTTCTGTGCTGCGGCTTAAAGCATTTTTAAGCAAAAGACAGCTCGTCCACATGGTCAGGGCAGCGAGTGACGAGCCGCGTCTCGCAGGTCTCCGCTAAAGTTTAAAAGTGATCAGTGTGGAGCTGATGCCAAGGACCAGCAGCACAAACATGGTCCATGTGGTTTGACTGGAGCCGTGTATTTGCAAGAATGCTTTGGGCTCCGTGACAGAGGAGCGCAACAGACCGGTATGTGTGTGTGTGCAATACATGTATGTATGTGTGTGTAAATATAAGCTCCAATGTAGTTCTGACCCGCACCAGTGTGCAACTAGATGATGCGTGTGGATGTTACACGCATCGACACAATGGAGGGGGGGGGGAAATGTGTGTGTGTGTGCGTGTACATGTGTGCGTGCATATGTGGCGCGTACGCCGTGAGAGTCGGCCCAGAGTTTACTGTTACATTGGCGCACACAGCTAGATGGGGACCCGCTCGTCACATCGTGCAAATAGGGCTTAAAATAGCGTTATTAAGAGACCTCCCCTCTCCCCCTTTTCTCTTTTTTAACCGACAGCTTTGACCGGTTAACGCTGTGACGATCAACCACCGGTTAAACGGTCACCGATTTACATCCCTAGCAGGGAGTACCAGTACTGCAGGGAGTACCAGTACTGCAGGGAGTACCAGTACTGCAGGGAGTACCAGTACTGCAGTACCACACTCGGCCTCTGGACAGGCTTACAGCCCGTACACGCCGCAAGCATCATCTTAAGCAAAGAGACTTGCGCAGCGTCACGCCTGGGGTGCAGCAGGGGTAAACGAGTGTACACGCTGCGTCCCGACCATAGACTGTATATATTAACGGACAGAGTCACGCCTCTCTCCGCCGTTCTAACTAATGAGCCAAAAAATATGCTCTACTGGAGCTATCCAAGATGGCCGCGAGTGGTCCCGCCCACAAGAAAATTTGAAAAATCGCATCTGCGCATGTGTCAGCCGGCGCAGCTCCATTCATTTGAACGAGAGAATTTTGAATGAGAAATTCACCGCGAGTAAACTAGAGTGGTCCAAAAAAATCCACCCCCTCAGCATTGCCACACATGTGGAACGGAGCTTTGGGCCAAGAGCTAACTTTTGGTCCATCCTGTAAAGACGTTTTCGAGAGGTCTGCTAACGCTATATGTTAGCATTGGCTAATTCTTCTTCTGGGTCCACCCCCATCGGCCCAGGGTGGTATTGCAGCATGTCAGCGCACGTCAACAATGATTTTGGACTGAATACAGGCTCTGTTGTTTATACAGCCGTGTGACGTGCGCCTCTCCTCTTGGTGTGTACGGGCCGTTAAGCAGTAATCCTCTATCTAGTTACTTTAACACAGGTGGTTATTTGCAGATGTTCTTGGTTGGTTTTGAAAATGGGAAAAATAAAATGCATTTTGTGTTTATTTCAGATCGTAAAAAGGACCTGAGCAAAATGAAGAGTTTACTGAACATCCTCACTGACCCCACCACCAGGTCAGTACTACAGTTCCTGACACCTGTAGGTCAGAGTACTGAATTTACAGCCCCCTGTAGGTCAGAAAGTACTACAGTTCCTGACCCCTGTAGGTCAGACAGAGTACTAAACTTACAGCCCCATGTAGGTCAGAGAGAGTACTAGAGTTCCTGACCCCTGTAGGTCAGAGTGTAAAGTTATTCTATTTTCAGGTGTCCTCTGAAGACGCTGCAGAAGTGTGAGATCGCTCTGGAGAAACTCAAGAACGACATGGCAGTGGTACAAATACTACTGCAAATACTACTACCACTGCTACTGCTACTGCTGCTGCTGCTACTGCTAATAGCCTGTCTTTCGTGTCTCCCTAAGCCCACCCCCCCTCCCCCTCCTGTTGTAGTAAAGCAGCAGTACTTGTGTCAGCCGCTCTTGGACGTCGTCATGGCAAATCTCCGCTCACCGGTGTTTAACCACAGTCTGTACCGCACCTTTGCCCCGCCCATGGCCGCCATCCACGGCCCGCCCATCCTGTGAGTGTTCATGTAGGAAATCTCTGATTGGTTGTCTGTTCCCAGGGTTACGTAGTACCTCTCTGATTGGTTGTCTGTTCCCAGGGTTACGTAGTACCTCTCTGATTGGTTGTCTGTTCCCAGGGTTACGTAGTACCTCTCTGATTGGTTGTCTGTTCCCAGGGTTACGTAGTACTTCTCTGATTGGTTGTTTGTTCCCAGGGTTACGTTGTACCTCTCTGATTGGTTGTCTGTTCCCAGGGTTACGTAGTACTTCTCTGATTGGTTGTTTGTTCCCAGGGGCCCTCACATCTCTGGGAAGAAGCGTCGCTGTGAGGAGGAGGACAGGGCCTCGGTTCCAAACCTACTACAGGGGGAACTGTCCAGACTCGACACCAAGTTCTGTGTGAACCTGGACTCGGGTCTTCCGAGTCACAGCGGGACCATGAACCTGCTGTGTAGACTGGGTAAGGACCATGAACCTGCTGTGTCATTGTGAGAACCATGAACCATACCGTGGACTGACCCTGACTTCTGTTCCAGATGATAAGTCCCTGCCCAGTGTTCCTCCGCTGCAGCTTGTTGTTCCTGCTGATTATCCAGAGCAAAGCCCCCAGTGGAGCCAGGACCAGGAACTCTATGGTAACTATTGCAAGTGCACGAGTATTGAGCTTGAATTATGCTGCGTTCAGACCGGATCATGCGTTGCGTCTGCTTTCAATGCAAAGTCAATGATGACGCGCATTTGAGCGTCAAAATGCATGTGCGTCTCGGAATGCACACACGGACTGTGCGGCAAAGTTGCGGCAGAGGCACAGGAGCGGAAAATTGACGCACGCAAGAGATACATTTTGCTGAGCGTTTCCTCAGACGCTTGTGCAGCGACCAATCAGAGAGCCCCAAGTGGTCACGAGGACATTAGTGGTCTGAGCGAGCAGACTGAAAATACTGTAAACAGCCAAAACAGTAGCTACACCACGACTAAACCAGGGTTGACGATGAGAGACATAGTGCTTGTGAACAAGTGTGTTTTCATGCTCCCGTGACTGTATACAACTGCTTCGAGCGTGTTCGCCAATGCGGAAGTACCGTTTAATAATAAAATAAACTTATGGTGCATCTCCGTGAACACATACGGCTGTTATATAAAGTCTGTGGAAGGTCTCTGAACACAGAGAACTTTTCACAAAAAGCTGCTAGCTTAAGGCCCCGTCCCAATTCTCACCCTTGCCCTTAAAAAGCACACTTGCCCTAGATTTTGCGTGTGCCCGCGGGAGTGGAATGGTGTCCCAATACTTGGGGAGAAGAGGCGAGGGCCTTCACACCCCTAAAAACCACCCTTGAGCGCAAGTGTGGTCTGGAGCGCACTCGCGAGCGAGGGTGATCCCATGATGCACGATAGCTGTTGGTAAAGTAGCTGTGAGGCAAAACCGCGCCACAATGAAAGAAAACAACATGAAACACCAGCGCGCAAGTTTGTGCGGAGCGGGAGGAAGCTCTGAAGCGTGTGCGAGCCATTCAGAGTTTTCAAAGTGTGTGTTGGTGCCGTGTGCGGTGACGTTCGCTCCCGAAGCGGCTGCAGCGTGTGGCGCGTGGCTTCAGAGACGTGGATCCATGTTGTCATAGATCCATGTAGTTCAGAGTATCGCTTTGACACAGTTTGCTTTGTGATCCGCGGGACCGGATGCGTCTGTGTGTGTCTGTGTGTGTCTGTGTGTGTCTGTGTGTGTCTGTGTGTGTAAATGTGTGTCTGTGTGCGTGTGTACGTCTGTCTCTGAGTGCGTGATGTGCAGCAGTTCTGTACCTAATTATAGCAAAACTTCGTATGAAATAGAATTAAAAACTTCTCATTTTGATAAATACAGTGTTTCATAAAGTCGTATCTGTTTCAGATCTTATCTGTGGTGAAATCAGACACTTTGATAATGCGTATGACGTGGAACACGTCTGCTGCGTCATTTGCATATTGTCCCCTAGATCCAGGGGTGTCTCAATTCTTAGGGAGAATGTTGTGAGTGCACTCACCACTGGGAAGGCACTTTACTGGTGAGGGCACTTTACTGGTGAGGGCACTTTACTGGTGAGGGCACTCACACCCAAGGGCAAGGGTGAGAATTGGGACGGGGCCTAACTCTTAGCATCAAAGTCTGCCGGCTTCTTCCGCCGCTTCCGTAGTGTGTGCTGCATTGTGGTTAACCTTAAAGCTGGGATATGTAACTTTCAGACCAACACAACTTTGACGTATTAGTGCGTCAATGGCACACTGTCGCTATTTTCATGTTCCCAGATGTCTATTATATCTAATGTGTATGGGGATTAGCTTTTAGAGCACAATTTTATTGAGCCAGCAGGTGGCAGCAGCGCTCTCTGGGTGGTTTGAAAACTGCTAGATGCACTTCCCTCTACTGGACAGGGGATTACAGGGGAAGGAAACAAGCTAGAAACAAAATTCTTTTTGCTGATGAAAGTAGACAGTCCAGGATCTGGTCTTTCAGAATCTGGTTTCGGATTTCAGATAGTCATAGTACACAATATTCTGTGGGTCTTGAAAAATCTATAAAAATCATCAGAAACTGCTAGGAATATGGGAGTACCTGTTGTGAAATAGGCTGGTGGTTAATGAGTTGAACACGTCTCTAGTTTCTGGCTCTAAAAGTTTGTTTCTATCGCTAGTTGTCACATGCATTTCTGGTCTGTCACATCTTTAGATCAGCTTTTTCAGACAGAAAAGTGACAGAGGACCACCCTCACTCAGCCAATCAGATATCAGGCCAAAGAGATGGTGACTCAAAAATGACATGTTTTCTACTAAGATGAAGACTGCATAAACACGTCAGACCAAAGTTATGCACCCCAGCTTTAAACATGTTATTTGCGAGGCTAGTGAACTCTGACCTTTTCTTCTCCTCAGAGTCCAACCCGTTCCTTCAGTCAGTCCACAGGAACATGACGTCCAAACTGCTGCAGCTTCCAGACAAACACTCAGTGACAGAGCTGCTGCAGACATGGTCCCAGAGCGTGTACCAGGCCAGTGTGAGGTCGCAGTCGCCCCGAGGGACACACCAGGCCAGTGTGAGGGCTGCCACATCTGCCTGAGGTTGCAGACACTAGACCACCTGAATCTGATTCTGTTAGAAGTGAACTTTACTATATTTTTTCTTACTTTTTGAACTTGTGAATAAAATATTTTCTGTGAATCATGTTTTTGCATTTGGGGAAATACTGTGTTAGGATTTGGCCAACAGAGACGCCCAGACTTCCCTATCCACACACACTTCCTCCAGCTCATCTGGGGGGATCCCAAGGTGTTCTAAGCCTAGCTGAGATGCAGTCCCTCCAGAGTGTCCTGGGTCTTCCCTGGAGAGGTGTTCAGGGAGAATAAAAAACACATTCACCATAAAAGACTGAACCAGTTTCACTTCAGTAAAAATAATTTTATTACAAAAAACTGTTTAAAATTCAGAAGGAGAGAGAAAAGGCTCTGTAGGAGAGGTTTGTGAAGACATCGATGTGGTCACTGCTGCCCCCTACAGTCAGCACCTGGAACAACAATGTTAGAAGTCATAAACCCTGTTCCACTCTAGGCAAGGCAAGTTTATTTGTATAGCACAATTCATACACAAGGCAACTCAAAGTGAACAAAAAAAAACAGCATTAAAGTCATAAATAATCACAGCAATTAAAGAAAACAATCCCTCAGTTGTGTGCACAGCTAAACAGAACTGTTTTTAACCTCGTCTTAAACATTGTCAGAGAGGAGGCCTGTCTCACATCTTCAGGAAGACTGTTCCAGATTTTAGCAGCATGAATCTGAAAAGCAGCCTCCCCATGTTTAGTCCTGACTCTGGGCACTAACAGGAGTCCAGTCCCTGTGCTCCTCAGAGTCCGGGCTGGTTCATATGGGACTAACATGTCACTAATATATTTTGGTGCGAGGCTATGGAGAGACTTGTACACAAGCAGAGCTGTTTTAAAGTCTATTCTCTGAGCCACAGGAAGCCAGTGCAGAGACCTGAGGACCGGACTAATGTGGTCGTACTTCCTGGTTCTTGTCAGGACTCGAGCTGCTGCATTTTGAATGTACTGCAGCTGTTTTACAGCCTGTTTGGACAGACCTGTGAGCAGGCCATTGCAGTAGTCTAACCCAGTGGTTCCCAAAGTGGGGGTCGCGGGAACCCCTGGGGGGGGGGTCGCAAGATGATTTCCAAAAAAAAACAAAAAAAAAACAAAACATTTTGCCCTTAAATATTGATTTAGCATTTGATTTGATTCAAAAGGACTACTTGTTAAATTGTGTTAGGAGAATATAAAATATTTAAATTACGTTTGTAATTTTGTCCAGTCATTGACAGCGTCAATCAAAATCAAGTTACGCAGCTTACGTCACGCAGCGACAAAGCGTGTCCAGCTGTTGTTTGCTAAAACTAAAAGGTGTTTGGAGGCTTCAAACAAATAATACCTGCTTTAAAATGAAACGTGGTTAATATCCACAACAGAAAAACCCGGAGGGGGAGAAAAGTCACTTGTATCAGGGGTCAGGCTGATGGTGCGAAGAGACGGAGAGAGGGCAGCGGAGGGAGAGAGGGCAGCGGAGGGAGGGAGGGCAGCGCGGAGGGAGGGAGGACAGCGGTAGAAGAGGGTGGTAAAGAGGCCCGGCTTTTCGGAGTCAGAAGAAAGCGGCCGCCCGCTTTTAATGTGCGGACCTCTTTACCGCTGACTCCGAAAAGCCGGGCCACTTTACCGCGGTAGGAGAACAGTGAGGGCGAGCCACAAGAAATGCGCTCCACTTCTGCTGAGGAGGGAGCCCACCAAGCCCATCACTGTGTCACTACATGAGTAAAAATACGCAAGCCTCCTTTTTTGGGCTGGACAGTGCAGCTCGGTAGTGGCGCGAGTCTCTGCCTTACTCCGTATCAAGGAAATACATGCTCATTAACGGGAAGGACTGTTGAGGTGGGGGGTCGCGGGGGAGCAGCGCATTTATGATGGGGGTCGCGGGCTAAAAACTTTGGGAACCCCTGGTCTAACCTACTGGAGACAAATGCATGGATAAGAATCTCCAAGTCTACTTTAGACACTATGTTTTTGATCCTGGCAATGTTTTTTAGATGGTAAAAAGCTGCTGATGTTACTGATTTGATGTGGCTATTAAAATTTAAGTCTGAGTCCAGTATTACCCCTAGATTTCTGACCTTGTTTGAAGGTTTTAGGGAGAGAGACTGGAGGTGACTCTCTCTCTCTACTCCTCTACCCCTAATGCTTCCACTGGCCCTTCTTCAGTCCCTCTTGGACCTGGTTCTAAAGGAATTTCCCCAGATAATGGTTTGTGGGCAGGTTGCTAGGATACAGTACCAGATACTTGTGTGTAATGAAACACATCTACATAACTAGTTCTGGTGGAAACAGCTCTCGAAACATAAATCATAGTGTAATGAGTTTGAACAGATGGACAGAAGGGCGGGGGACAGTCTCACCCGGTGCTCACTGCTGCGGTCATTGATCTGGAAACAGTTGAGACTTGGGGAGGAGGTTGGGATCTGGGCCTTCACGTCTCCTCCCAGCATGCAGTGCGACACAAGGGGGGAGTCTCCCACAGCCAGGACCTGAGGCGACGAGATGTGTTACGAAAGACCCTCTACAGAAACAGACTGGGGCCTTACCATGTCCTGGTAAAACGCTGCGTGTCGTGTGCAGCCGTTCACAGGAAACACTGAGGTGGGAGAGAGAGAGCGCAGATGCCACAGGGCGAGCGAGGGACCGCCGCCACACAACTGTAATCACAACAACAAACTAAACCACAACTGTAATCACAACAACAAACTAAACCACAACTGTAATCACAACAACAAACTAAACCACAACTGTAATCACAACAACAAACTAAACCACAACTGTAATCACAACAAACTAAACCACAACTGTAATCACAACAACAAACTAAACCACAACTGTAATCACAACAACAAACTAAACCACAACTGTAATCACAACAACAAACTAAACCACAACTGTAATCACAACAAACTAAACCACAACTGTAATCACAACAACAAACTAAACCACAACTGTAATCACAACAACAAACTAAACCACAACTGTAATCACAACAACAAACTAAACCACAACTGTAATCACAACAAACTAAACCACAACTGTAATCACAACAACAAACTAAACCACAACTGTAATCACAACAACAAACTAAACCACAACTGTAATCACAACAACAAACTAAACCACAACTGTAATCACAACAACAAACTAAACCACAACTGTAATCACAACAACAAACTAAACCACAACTGTAATCACAACAACAAACTAAACCACAACTGTAATCACAACAACAAACTAAACCACAACTGTAATCACAACAACAAACTAAACCACAACTGTAATCACAACAACAAACTAAACCACAACTGTAATCACAACAAACTAAACCACAACTGTAATCACAACAACAAACTAAACCACAACTGTAATCACAACAACAAACTAAACCACAACTGTAATCACAACAACAAACTAAACCACAACTGTAATCACAACAACAAACTAAACCACAACTGTAATCACAACAACAAACTAAACCACAACTGTAATCACAACAACAAACTAAACCACAACTGTAATCACAACAACAAACTAAACCACAACTGTAATCACAACAACAAACTAAACCACAACTGTAATCACAACAAACTAAACCACAACTGTAATCACAACAACAAACTAAACCACAACTGTAATCACAACAACAAATACTTGTGCATGTGTAGATTCTCACCATCCAGTCGTTGTCTGTGGCCAAACAGCTGATCCACCGCCCCAACTGTGGCCGAGCGCACATCTGAGACACAGTACCATGTGACATCATCAGTGACATCATCATCAGTGTCCTCCTCAATGCTGGGATTTCGCTAGCGTTCAGGGGATTTCCCACATTTGTATTATGTAATTATCTCTTCTTGTGACTGGGTTCTGACAGGAGGGGGGGAGGAGGGGGGGATGAGGGGGGGATGAGGATGAGGGGGGGATGAGGATGAGGGGGGGAGACGTCATATAAAAGTGACTTCTGACCTCATATTTATGGACCTCTATGCAGTGAGCGCTCTGAGACTTCCTGTCGTCTGTAAATAAACAAAACATCACAGTTCATCACAGGGAGATATGGAGAGGAATGGGCCAAAATAACAGCTCCAGTGTGTTGAACCTGAAGAGCAACAGGGAACATGTGACCCACACACACAGATACTAGGGCTGGGCGATATATTGTGATATAGGATTTCAGCCATAAGTAATTCATATCGGTCGATAACGATATATATTGATAGTTTATTTATTTTATTAGTATTAGATAGCAATATGGCCTACGTGCAGGACTGTACAAGGACTCTACAAGGACTCCATGTTATGACTATGATGTGACTGTCTCTTTGTGACACGTATGTCTTTCGATGTGTGACGTGACAATGACTATATAAACTGTGTACTGCCTTTATTCTGTCTGAGGGAAAGAAACAGAGTAAACTAGTGGAACTTGAGAGAAACTTAAATAAACTTCCAGAGTTTGGCACACCACGATCCGTCTCTGTCTGCTTAAATCCTAACAGATTTGGTGGAGAATGCGCGGCTCGGTTTGTGCCATTCTCTGGATTGTTTTGGGGGAGTTTTGCTCTGTTTCTTTTCCTCTGCGTGGGAGATCGGCATGCTGTGTCTGGGAGCGGAGATTCCAGCAGGCTGGAAGAGCTGTTCCTGGATGCTTCTTGTCGCTTCTGTCACTTTTGTTTTTTAAATTGAAGATTCCGACGCGGAAAAGAGTTGGCAGACCTCTCGGACAGCCCGTGCGCACCTGTTTGACAAGAATAAGGTAAGCAGACACCTTTTTAAATGTAAAGTCTGCATAATTGGATACTAGCTAAATTTGGGTGTGTTTTTGAGGTCTGTCGAACTCTCTAAATTGTGTTCAAATAAGTGAGGATCCATAAGTGAAAAGGCCATAAAGTGAGTGAAGGATCCATAAGTGAAAAGGCCATAAAGTGAGTGAAGGATCCATAAGTGAAAAGGCCATAAAGTGAGTGAAGGATCCATAAGTGAAAAGGCCATAAAGTGAGTGAAGGATCCATAAGTGAAAAGGCCATAAAGTGTATAGGATCCAAAAAGTGTTGGCCATAAAGTGTATAGGATCCAAAAAGTGTTGGCCATAAAGTGTATAGGATCCATAAGTGAAAAGGCCTAAGTGAAACCATGGTGTAATAATAAAAGCAATTTTTAAAAAGGGAAACGTGTTAAGGAGGCCTTTGTTACAAAAGCTTTGAAATTGACGAATTTCAGGCTGATAAATGACAAAAGTTTAAAGAACAACATCAGTTATATTTGCTTAGCAAAGTAATCTTGAAAGTTATTCTTCTGTATCTTTCTGCCTGTGCGTGTGTGCGTCGCACTATCTTGCTGCCGTTGTCAGGGAAACGGCCCCTCCTTCGCTGCTCTGGCTGTGAATCTGAAGCAAAGCTACTGCTTTAGGAATTTGGCTTTTCATAGTAGTTATTCCGTTAAATTTGCTAAATTTGCCATTTGAACATTGTGTTAGACACAGTTAAACGTTTTTAAACACCATTAGGGAATAGAAGTTTTGAATTAGTATGTTTTTGAAACCCAAAGATTAGTACAAAAAGCTTTGCTTTTCTTTTTAAATCTGCTGCTTATTTTGTGAGTCCATTATTGTATCTCTGATATATTTCATAGCTGTTTGTGAGAATTTTTTCATGTATTTTTTATTTTAGTTACAAAAGCCGTTTTTCAAACATTTAAATTAGAATCTGTTAAAAGTGATTAATGATTGTAGACTTCGTCTAAAAAAGAAAGAGAGAATTAGGCTGTAAAAGTATTATATTATTAAGTTAAACTACCCAATTCACCCATTGCAAGCGGTGATGTTTTTGTTTTGACTACACGCGTGACCTTGCTGCTGCTCAGAGACATGAGGAGGCAGCTCCGACGCACAATTGAGTTTTATTGAACCAAATCCAGTTTAGCTGGAGCTAAATCTTTTGTTTGATTTCAAGTTATGTTTTAATGTTTAACAAATTAATGTTCATTTTTATAGAGATTTTTCATAATTTCATTTCATGGCGTCTTTCAAGAAACCCAAGGACGCATAGATAATTAATCACACAGTACAAAAGTATATAATACATGTTTTAAAGTTTAAAAGGTTGTTTGTTTTGAGTATAATTGTTGTTTTGATAACTTCTTTAGTTTCTGGTTTTAAAATGTCATCATTAGTAAGAGAATAAGTAATCTTTATTTACATAGCGCTTGGGAAAACCCAGAGCGCTCAAATTGTTTTGACTTCAGAGAGAAAAACAATCTCATTCGCATACTGATATCTATTGTTTTTTTTAAATTGGCTGTTTCAAGGATTGTTTTTCAGACTCTGGCACACTGTGGGAGAGGTCACTGCTGGACACTGGACAGCGCAAAGCCCACCCAGCCACAGGTCACAGATCAAAGAGCAAAGGGAAATGCCACCTCCTTGCCCCTCCCCACGCCACTGCAGAACTGAGTGGGTGTGAGAGAGACCGGGGCCATGAAAGAGAGGTATCTGGAGACGTGATGGTGGAGCATCAGGGAAAGACCTGAATGAGAGTTGAGAGTGTGTCCAGTTGGTTTACATCACCACAGTGTGACCTTTGACACCTACGGGTGGTTCGTGGAGTCTGGAGAGACAACCCCAAAATTCATACACACACACACACACACATACACTCACACATTCACATTTACATATAGATACATGAAAAAGCAGAACATGAAAAAAGCATTTTAAAAGTTTACTCCAATGTAAACACATATTTTTAATTGTCTATCACTTGAATCTTTAGTTGAATCAGTATTTTTTGGGACCAGAAATGTTCATTTGAATTCTATATTGTCATGGACTTAATTGACCTCTGTCCTGACACTTTTGATGTTTTGATTTTGTACTGTGTGAAGTAATTACATTGATTAGAATTAGATCTGATAAAAACACAAATTAGAGAAGTAAACTGCGCTTGCTTTTTGTCTGAGGGACAGAAGCAACAGCATGAATAGAAATTGTGTTAAAGTAGAATCAAAATGACTTAACCATAGAGAGTAACTATTGCATAACAAGCTGTGTACAGGAACTGAGACACTGCACCATTGACCAGAAGTGCATCGCAAATGACCTGATGTGCTTCAAGTGAAAAGACTGTATCTGGAGATCTGATGTCCAACTGGAGAGACCAGAGCCATGGCTTGGACCCTACTGATGTCCAATATGACCTGACCTGATGACGACTGAGACTCACCCTCAGGGGACCCTGAGGACCTGAGAGAGAAAAACTGGGGAGTGATGTTTATATTTTTGAAATCATACATTGATGAGTGCTAAATGAGACAGATACTCATGATTCTTTCTTTTGTTTTTGTTTGTCCCTAGCTTCTGGACATCTGATGATCTATTGGACACAGCCATTTGCAGAACAAGAACCAGCCAATGAAAACGTCTATTGCTGATGCTATTGCTACAACCAGAACCTGTGACCAAATGCAATATACATGTTAAGTATTCAGACATCTGACAGACAAAAATGTTTGAAAATGATAAAGTATAAGTATTGTAGCGTTTTAGTAGATGTTAAATAGTAGTAAAAGAGTAGAATTTGACTTCCTTTGTTGTTCATAAACATATTTCCACGTAAGAGTTAAAATAGTACCCTACAATGTTATCCTTTTGATAGATCAGCTATAATATTAGAATCAGAGTTATGTTACAGCCATTAAAAGTGACAGAAGTCACAAATTAGAAATATGCCTTTGCTCAAGCTGCAGCCGAGCTTTTGAGTTAAAAAATAGAGATAGATAAATGCATCAACCATAGATTCTTTCAAAAATAGAGATTATTTCCAGCCAGTGCTAATATCAAATGGTAAAGGGACCATTTCACAAGCATTTACTTCAAAAGTAGATAAAGTTAATTACAGTTTATGTACAGCAGGGGTGGCCAACCCGCGGCTCGTGAGCCGCATGCGGCTCTTTGGCTGGTTCCGTGCGGCTCTCGGGCTTTCACTCGACAAGCGTCAAAAACGCCTCGGTGGTGGCGCTGCCTTTCATTCCATATGTAGTTCTGACCAATAGTAAAGGCCGACTTCACTCCACTAGCCAGGCCACCAAAACAATCTGACGTCGGCGAACGTCAATTCTGGTTGGTCAGATGCGCTGTCAATCACTCTGCAGCTGCTACCTCAGCTGTAGCAAATATCATAACAAACAACACGTTGCCTCGAACCATGACGTCCGTACGGAAAACAATTCCTTGGTCGCTGGATGAGGGCAACACCTTCCTCAGTTTGAGGAGAGGACACCAGCCTGATCTCGCTGGTTCCACCAGAAACCAGAAGGTGTTTGTGGAGCTAGCACTAAGGACGGAGCAGAATGATTCCCACAAACATGACAATGCAGAGAAAAGTTAAAAAGCTTAAAAGTGACAACCGTGAAATGAAAGATCGCAGCAGCAGAAGTAGAGGCAGACCCGAAAAGTCTGGAGGTGGTTTGACCAAATGGATTACATTTACGGACATCGGCTAACACCGGCTAACATGCTAAAACCAGCTAACAACAGCTAGCATTACACCAGGAGATAAGCCAACTCTGCCTGGTGAGTGTCTGTCTTCAATCAAATGCAAAAGTATCTGGTCTTATACTGAGCATGTGTCTGTGGTTCTAAATCAGCTAAAGTGGTGTTGGTGTTATGTGTCAAATCTATATCTTTTACTAAAGACAGTTGTGTTTCTGCTGAACACTGGGTTGAAACTTGATTTTTTTTTCTTGGTTAGAGATTGAAAGCATTCATTTCGGAATCATAATTGATGTTCGCTGACGTGCAATTGTTCTGGTATCGACTCGCCCGGTTAGAACCAGGGCCAAACCATTAATAAAAAGTACCGGGGAGCGGTTGAAGCGAGCGGTTGAAGCGAGCGGTGGAAGCGGACGCAAACCGGGGAGAGTCGAGTCCAGCCCTTTAGTGCTGTACGAGTCAATTTCTGTCATTATCATGTTGATGACATTTACAATAAATCTGTCTGAGCAGAGCACACCTCTCTCTGCTCAGACAGATTGCATGTGTGTGCGCGTGTCTGCTCGTGTGCGTACAGTACGTGCGCGTGTGCGTGCGTGTGTAAGGGTTGGGGTGATGTTTATGTAGTGCACATTTGTATGATGTGGCTCTTTGCTGTAACACAGTAAAAAAAATTGGCTCTTAGTCTCTGACTGGTTGGCCACCCCTGATGTACAGTTTTATTAGATACTTGCCAAATTCACTTGTGTTCAAACATCGGTGAATGTTGACAATACAAAAAGTCCATATGAGTGTAGCCTAGATTAATGCCTAGATCAATGAGATAGATTACAACCAACAGAGATTTAAAAGCATTTTGATGCATTTGTGTATAGCACAAAAAAACAATAGTAGATATTTAGATATTGAGAAGTTTCCAGCACAAACACCATTGTAGAATAACTGACCCCAACCCCAAACCTGCTAAAATAGATTAGCTCTTGTAAGGATAATACTAATTTGATTAATGATGTTCATTCATCCCAAACTGCCTGACAATAATATCTTTAGATAATAAAAAGTAATAAATCACTGACCACTATAGAAGTGTAAATGTTGACCATTTGCCTTACTGTGTTCACAGTTTTATTCCTGAGAATGAGAATAGACATGGAGCAAAATCCCACTGATAATAAGCCACTGATAATGAGAGTGTAAAACCACAGAGAGATTTATTAGATTAAAATGTATGTTTAAGAATATGGCTCAATAGAAGCAAATATGCAAACATATTTGTAAATAGATTAGAATAGTTTTAAACTATAGTGAATAGTGAAAGTAAAGTACACAGTCTAAGATTAAAAAGTGAAAATAATACAGTGAAATAAGTGAAGTGAAGTGTAAACAATTAGCATTAGAATAAAAGTATAGAGTAATAAAAGTGAAATTAGCTTCAAATTTGAGACTCAGCTCGTTTTTGTCTGTGTTTTGACTGAATCTGCTGAGTTCTACTGTGTCCAATAGTTTTTGTTTGTTTTTTATTTTTGTTTGTTTTTATTTTTGATTTGTTTGTTTGTTTTTGTTTGTTTGTTTTTTCCCAGGATAGAGGATAAAATCCACTGATATTGATTTGATGATTATGAGTTTAATGCATACATTTTCTTTGTTTTTAATAATTTTTTAAAGTTTTTTTTTTGAATTTTTTTTTTTTCCTTTTTCCACTTTATTGATTGATCGATTTGAGTGATCACATGTGATTATGTGATCAAAGGGGAGAGTATTAGTATTAGATAGCAATATGGCCTACGTGCAGGACTGTACAAGGACTCTACAAGGACTCCATGTTATGACTATGATGTGACTGTCTCTTTGTGACACGTATGTCTTTCGATGTGTGACGTGACAATGACTATATAAACTGTGTACTGCCTTTATTCTGTCTGAGGAAAGAAACAGAGTAAAACAGTGGAACTGGAGAGAAACTTAAATAAACTTCCAGAGTTTGGCACACCACGATCCGTCTCTGTCTGTTAAATCCTGACAATTTTTTTAAAACGGAAACAAATACATTTGTTGTGTCGGCTAACACATGTTAGCAGCCTTGTTTACAGTCACGGATGAATGAAGCAGTCTCCCCCATAGTTAGTCCTGGTTTAGCTCTTGTTTTGGCTGTTTGAGTGTTTTATGTCCCCGTGACCTCTCCAGAAAAAGTTAACCTCTTGCTTTTGCCGAATTTTGCACATGCTGTTCCTCGCACGGACGTGTTTAACCATTGACAAGGCCTGAAACACGATCTTTAGATCCATGGCTATTATAATAGATCCATGATCCATGGACGCTCCACATGGTGCGGTCGTTGTTTTTGCATTTCCCAGAATGTTTTGCGTTTGTGGTCTGCTGTGATAGGTCGAGAAGCCTTTGCCTACATCCCCCAGAATGCCGTGCGCTTCTGACTCGGCTTTACTTCCTGTGTTTTCTTCCTGTTTTTTCTAACGGAGTGAAGTGAAACTATCGAACATTCTATCGACCCCGTTTTCTATTGATATCAAACACATGTCTATCGCAATATATATTGTTATCGTTTCATCGCCCTGCCCTAACAGATACACAAACACAGATACACACACAAACACACAAATCTCAGGTCACTGACCCCAAATCCGCACTGTTCCATCCTCTGACCCCGATAGGATCTGACCCTCGCGCTCGCGCTCACACACACAGTGGATGTAGTCCTGATGCCCCGCCAGAACACCCTGAAACAGAGTTGAGGTGAGGACAGGAGCAGTAGCTCTACGCTGAGCTCCAAGCTCCTCTTTACTGCACTTGTGAAAGACAAGGAACACGTCCATAACACTGTTACTATGGTTACAGTGAAAGCCCCACCCCTTCCTTGTTACATGGTTACTGTAAAGACCTCACCCCCTTTTGTTGCTATGGTTACCATAAAGGACACGCCCCCTCTTGTTGCCATGGTTACTTTAAAGGACCCACCCCTCCCTGGTTGCCGTGGTTACCGTGAAGGCCCCAGTCTCCAGGTCCAGCAGGTGCAGGTTGTTGTCTCCGCCTCCAAGAACCAGAACGTTCTCTCTGCTGCGCAGCATCAGGGCATTTATCTCTGGGATCTGAAGACCAGGTCTAGAACCAAACAGAGGCTAGAGGTTAGACCAGAGAGAGAGCGAGAGCGAGAGACCAGAGAGTGAGACCAGCGAGAGATCAGAGACCAAAGAGAAAGATCAGAGCCCAAAGAGACCGACCAGATGATTTAGACCTTGTCGTGTCGTCCTGCCATAGTCCTGCCATAGTCCTGGTTAAACTCACTTGTAGTCTGGACGTTTGGTCCACACTGGTTTGACATTCTGAAAAAAAAAAAAATAATACGTGTTTTAATCAAATCTAAAAATGAAACCAAAGCTCTGCTTAAGTCATTGTGACAGTAAAACGGTAGAAAATTGGTTTGGCCTTTTGTTTACAAGTCTTTCAGGGGGTAAACAGAACAGAGTCGCTGCTCAGCGGGGGCTGTTTCACACGGCTGTGAAACAAATTTGGACATGCACAGTAGCAGAGGAAAAATGTAAACAACAATGGCGGCGGGTACACCAACTAGCTACGTCCAAACAAAACCTCGCAAAGCTGTAGTTTCAGTTTCCATTTTTGCAGCTGCTGTTAAATTTAGAATGATGTTGGTTCTTTCACGTCTTTGCGGTGTCCTGAGGAGGATGTTGTTGAGGAAGTGGTTGTGGTGCTTTGGGTCGCGTGTGTCGTGTTTTAAAGATCCACTGCCCCCTACTGGCCGGGCGCCAGAACAACATTGTTTTCAGTCATCACGTAAACGCTGTGCACTTTGAATAAGGAGCCTGGTCGTTTTTGCAAATTGTTTTGCAGCATCTCTGCAGCGTCTCCGTCTAAATAGGAACTCAGACAGATCTCTGACCTTCTTGAGCAGGTGGCTCCAGCTCCAGGCGCTCACTTCTCCATTTCCACAGCTGAAAAGATGAAGATCTGAGGAGCTGAGACAGAAGACTGGACCTGCATGAGCTGAAGACAGAAAACCAGGGTTAGACCAGGTCCAGCAATAGACCAGGCAGAGACCAGAGAGAGAGAGCAGAGAGAGAGCAGAGAGAGACCAGAGAGACCAGAGAGACCAGAGAGAGAGCAGAGAGAGACCAGAGAGACCAGAGAGAGCAGAGAGAGAGCAGAGAGAGACCAGAGAGAGACCAGAGAGAGACCAGAGAGAGACCAGAGAGAGACCAGAGAGAGACCAGAGAGAGACCAGAGAGAGCAGAGAGAGAGCAGAGAGAGAGCAGAGAGAGAGCAGAGAGAGACCAGAGAGAGACCAGAGAGAGAGAGCAGAGAGAGAGACCAGAGAGAGAGAGCAGAGACAGAGCAGAGAGAGAAACTAGAGAGAGAGAGAGAGACCAGAGACTGGGCAGTGGCTGTGCAGTGGCTGTGCAAGGGTACCCGGGGCCTCAGGCAACAGAGTCCTTGGGGGCCCCGATACCGACCACAAAAAAAGGGTTTATATTACAGTAGGTATAAATATATATTTAATCAATTATAAAAGGTAAAATGTAATATCTATTACTTGTTTACATTCATATAAATTAAATGTAGACTATTTCTTATTTTGAACAAAATATAATAATTTAGCATGTATTTTTATAAGCTTGTTCACTGCACTCATCATGTTATAATCAATTACAAAAACTACCTATCAAAGTGTATTAATCCAACAAAATCTTAGCTCTTAGCTTAGATCTGCAAAAATAGCTTGTTTTTACCTTTTACCGTTCTTGAGCAATCTGACAGAATTTTATACATACACTGCAAAAAGTAAATTCTAAGCAAGTAAAAAAAATCTTGAAACAAGAAAAGAAACCTTGTTTTTTGTATTAAATGTTTTTTAATTTTGTCTAGCAAAATTTCCTTGAGAATAAAATTCTTATTTTTAGAATTTAATTCTAGCTTTATCTTATTAAGAAAAATGTGCTTTAAAAAGTAATATTTGGACCCGAAACAAGCAACAATTACTTATTTAGGTTCCTCTTAATTCAAGAAAAAATAAGAAAAATATTATATATAATTTAATTCAATGTAGTTTCACTTCAATGTGTTTGTGTATCGTCCAAAACCACAGCAGACGTTGCCTGGGAGGATTTAACAAAGTTGTCGATTCACCAACAACAGATCATAAAATCATACCGGTGGAACACAGGACATGCAATAATAACAAACACATGGAGCCATGTGAGGAGCAGGACGACCACTGTCCAGAAATGTTCATAAATGTCCTGAAATAACTCATATCAGCACTGCCCTTAGACCCTCCTGCATCAGAGGAACCACAGAAACCCACCTGACACTGACACAATACAATATTATTGGCCTCGTGCACGTGATGCACGTCTCCAAGATCATCTTTAATGGCACATATGTTTGTACAAAACTGTGATATGGAGTATAGTGCACATTAGCATCTGAAGAGATATTGTTATGGCAGTGTCTCCCAAAGTGGGGTCCGCGGCCCTAGATTTTTTAAGGGGGCTGCGGTGTTATGGTATTAAGCTCCTCACCCCCTCCCTCCTGTTCTTGCTGCTGTGGGCGTGGCTCTTCCTGCTCCCTGTTCCTGATTGGCCTACACACCTGCCCCTCATCTCTAATCATCTCCATGCCTGGGCATTTCCTCAGTCCTCTGTCAGGTCCTCAGTCTACATCGTGAGACAGGCCTTTTGCTATTTTTGCTAAGTTTTTGAAGTCCTCGTCTGATCTCATGTTTTGTGCTGCTCTCAGATTCTGGTGCCAGTTGCAGCCACTTCACTCCAGCTCCATTTCCGGCCCACCCTACCAGCCCAACCTTCATTCCTGTTGATAAACCCTGTTAATCCGTTCGTTGCATTTGGGTTCACTTCTTTGATCATAACAGATATGTATTGCTTATTAAGCCAATTTTGCTTAAAGGAATAGGCCACCGTTTTTACATACTGACATATGTTCTTACCTAGGGCAACAGTAGCTCAGTTGGTAGAGCATTGGCCTTTGGGCCTGAAGGTTGTGGGTTCAAGCCCACCATAAGAACTACTTCGCGACTCCCTCTGATGACTGCTGTCGTTGTGTCCTTGGGCAAGACACTTAACCCCACTTTGCCTGAAGCTCCCACTGAAAGATCTCAGCTCCTGTGGACTCACCACCTGCAGGAGGATCAGTGAGGGGCTGGTGCTATGTGTACTGGGTGCAGCTCTGACTGCTACCCCCCCGACCCAGAAATGGATTAAGGGGAAGAAAATGGATGGATGGATGGATGTTCTTACCTTAGACTAGTTTATACTCGCGTGGCGCGGAGCTTACGGAGGTGACGTGACGTCACCGCAAGGCCCTTACGTCGCCTGCCGCGCAGCATCAACATTTTCTAACTACGTAAGGGTCGCCGCAAGGAATCTCCGCTGTGATTGGTCCGTGTGTGTGTTATGGATAACACACACAATATCGTCCAGGGATATGGACGAGGCACTATGGAGCAGAGAGCTTTGTGCTTCGAAGGAAAAGCAGTTTGGGCTCAGAGCCTGATATACAGGAGACTGTGGACTATCTAACATATATATAACTTATATCTAACATATATATAACTTATAAACTGTTCCTGTCTTGTTTGAGTCGTAGCTGCGTTTGTTGCTTTCCTCCTGCACTCGTAAATCTTTCATGTTTGTCTCAGATATTTACCACTATTATTGTTTTGCTGTTTGTGCTGAAAACTATTTAATAATAACTATGTTTCCAACAAGAACTGTGTCTTTATTCACAGCATCACAGTTGAAATGACTTATAAAATAATGAATCCATAAAACTATCACATAAACCTACAGTAGAAACACGTGTAATGAGCTCAAACAGCTTTGTTTGCTATTGTTGTTCTGAAGAGGACAAAGTAGCAGCGTGAATGGGACCGCTCAACCGCTAACGTAAGCCACGCCGCGCAAGTATACACTAGGCTTTAGACATGTTGATATGTACCTGTTTGGTCTGTGTCCGTGCGCTCTGTCATGCAAACGGAGCACAAACGCAGCCTCTTCCACAGACTGTATAGCTCCAAATCAGCTCCCGTTAGAAGCTACCAAACTCTTCCACGTGTTCCCTATTTAAATACAGTTACGTGACGTGTTACACTACAAAGTAAAGTAACACAGAAATGTAACATGTCGATTTTCTCAGTGGATAAAAAAGGGGAACTATATTGTGAGGCGTTATAATACGAGGAGCGAGTTTGGTAGCTTCTAACGGGAGCTGATTTGTTCCTATACAGTCTGTGGAAGAGGCTGCGTTTGTGCTCCGTTTGCATGACAGAGCACGGACAAAGACAGGTACATATTAACATGTCTAAGGTAAGAACATGTCAGTGTGTAAAAACGGTGGCCTATTCCTTTCAAACCATTCTACAAATAGAAAAAGGCTGCTTAAAAGAGCAGAAAACAAGCAAATGTATCCATAATTAAACATTTATTTAAGCATTATTTCCAAAAATTATCCAATAAAAATAATATTTTGTTTAAATCTGACCACTCTATTGGAAGAAAATTTCTTAAATCAAGAAATATATTCTTGTTTTTTCCCCATTATACATTAGGATAATAATCTTATAACAAGAATTCTAGTCAAGGAAAAAAATCTTACCCCATTGCCTGATTTTTTTCCTTAAAATAAGCAAAGCTTGTTTCTAGCAAGGTACTTTTTGCAGTGTAGTGTATGTAATCCAAAATGCTACTCTCGCCCGGACTCGAACCCAGGCCATAGCGGCACAAGTGCTGTTACTAAACCACCAGACCACCAGCACATTCAACAGGTCTGCTCCAGGCGGGGTTTTAACTGTTACTGAAGAACGTGGCAAGTTTTGCATCAAACGAAAAGATTTTATCTGCCAACTCGTCACTGCAGGTAGCTGTTGTAGTCTGTACAAGTCGACCGCTTGTGTCAAATCAGTCGGCCCTCAGGGGCCCCCTGCTGGTTTGGGGGCCCCAGGCAGCTAGCTGCCTGCCTTGCCTGTTGGCAAGGAACGCCTCTGAGACTGGGTGATTGTACCTGCCAGTGTAACCTCAGTTCCATCAGACAAACAGTTAGTCCACTCCTTGTAGAAGTTAGGGTTAGAGAAGTCTGGACCAGGGTCTGGATCAGGTCTTACCTGTGAATGTCAGCACTGGTCTGTAGCTGAGAGGGGAGGAGTCTGGACTCAGAGCTGCAGACAAACTGACACAAACAAACACAATTAGAATGCAGTTGGCTGTTGCAGCCTCTCACCTGAAGAGGGCGACATCTCACCTGAAAAGGCCAATCTCTCCGTATCCGTTTCCTGCTGCGAGGAAGCGTCCACAGGGAGAAAAGCTCTGGGAGTACACGGACATGTGCAGCAGCTGCACGCAAAAAATATACACCAGGTCAGAAGGCGGTGTAAATGTGCTGAAGGTTGAAATGAGCGTACACAACACGCCAAAACAGGCATGAAATTTAAGATTTGGACAACAATAAACATATTCTCAGTCTGGCAAAATTATAAGCTGTGTTTTCATTGAGCTTCATGTTTCGAAATTTGAATTTGCGCATCAGAAAAAGTCTAATGGAAACACGCAAACTTTGAATAAATCACAGATCATGATGAGGAGCCTCTTCTGTTTCTTTGATTTTAAATCTGACTTGTGTGTATTATTTTCAGTGCTTTGTGATCCTGGTCTGTGAAAGGTGCTATACAAATACACTGCTGCGCAATTATGCATTTGTTTTTCCTCATTCACCTCTGGCCAAGCAACGTGTTTTTTCCTTAGTTTTGTGCATAAAGCCTCTCTCTCTGTATTGTACTGTGTTTGTTTGTTATTATTGCATATCCCGTGTTTGAACAGTTTGATTCTCTGTTCTGTTGTTGGTGAATCCACAACTTTGTAACTAGACTCCAGACTGTTGCTGCAGTGATTCAGGGCGATACTCGAGTCCATTTGACACGGGCACAGGTCAGAGTGGCAGCTGGGACAACACCCTCAACACAACAAAGCCTCATTGTTTGGTCAAAGTCAAAGTAAACATGGGATTTCAGTTCAAAGTTATCATGGAAACTCTCTCCCACTGGTCTCTCTCTCAATGGGCTCTCTCTCTCACTGGTCTCTCTCTCTCCCTCTCTCACTGGGCTCCCTCTCTGTGGTCTCTCCCTCCCTCTCACACTGTTCGATCTCTTGCTGATCTCTCTCTCTCACAGGTCTCTCTTTCTCTCTCACTGGGATCTCTCTCTCTCTCTCTCACTGGGATCTCTCCCTCTCTCTCTCACTGGGATCTCTCCCTCTCTCACTGAGCTCTCTCTCACTGGGCTCTTCTCTCTCTGTCACTGAGCTCTCTCTCACTGGGATCTCTCTCTCACTGGGCTCTCTCACTGAGCTCTCCCTCTCTCTCACTGGGCTCCATCTCTCTCTCACTGGGCTCCCTCTCTCTCACTGGGCTCTCTCTCTCTCTCACTGGGCTTTCTCACTGGGCTCCCTCTCTCTCACTGGGCTCCCTCTCTCTCACTGAGCTCTCCCTCTCTCTCACTGAGCTCTCCCTCTCTCTCACTGGGCTCTCTTTCTCTCACTGGGCTCCCTCTCTCTCTCACTGGGCTCCCTCTCTCTCACTGGGATCTCTCCCTCTCTCACTGAGCTCTCTCTCACTGGGCTCCCTCTCTCTCTCACTGGGATCTCTCTCTCACTGAGCTCTCCCTCTCTCTCACTGGGCTCTCTCTCTCTCTCACTGGGCTCCCTCTCTCTCACTGGGATCTCTCCCTCTCTCACTGAGCTCTCTCTCACTGGGCTCCCTCTCTCTCTCACTGGGATCTCTCTCTCACTGAGCTCTCCCTCTCTCTCACTGGGCTCCCTCTCTCTCACTGGGCTCCCTCTCTCTCACTGGGCTCTCTCTCTCTCACTGGGCTTTCTCACTGGGCTCCCTCTCTCTCACTGGGCTCCCTCTCTCTCACTGGGCTCTCCCTCTCTCTCACTGAGCTCTCCCTCTCTCTCACTGGGCTCTCTCTCTCTCACTGGGCTCCCTCTCTCTCTCACTGGGCTCCCTCTCTCTCACTGGGCTCTCTCTCTCACTGGGCTCCTCTCTCTCTCTCACTGGGCTCCCTCTCTCTCACTGGGCTCCCTCTCTCTCACTGGGCTCCCTCTCTCTCACTGGGCTCTCTCTCTCTCACTGGGCTCTCTCTCTCACTGGGCTCCCTCTCTCTCACTGGGCTCCCTCTCTCTCACTGGGCTCCCTCTCTCTCACTGGGCTCTCTCTCTCTCACTGGGCTCCCTCTCTCTCTCACTGGGCTCCCTCTCTCTCACTGGGCTCTCTCTCTCACTGGGCTCCCTCTCTCTCTCACTGGGCTCCCTCTCTCTCACTGGGCTCCCTCTCTCTCACTGGGCTCCCTCTCTCTCACTGGGCTCTCTCTCTCTCACTGGGCTCTCTCTCTCACTGGGCTCCCTCTCTCTCACTGGGCTCTCTCTCTCTCACTGGGCTCTCTCTCTCACTGGGCTCCCTCTCTCTCACTGGGCTCCCTCTCTCTCTCACTGGGCTCCCTCTCTCTCACTGGGCTCCCTCTCTCTCTCACTGGGCTCCCTCTCTCTCACTGGGCTCCCTCTCTCTCACTGGGCTCCCTCTCTCTCACTGGGCTCTCTCTCTCTCACTGGGCTCTCTCTCTCACTGGGCTCCCTCTCTCTCTCACTGGGCTCCCTCTCTCTCACTGGGCTCCCTCTCTCTCACTGGGCTCTCTCTCTCTCACTGGGCTCTCTCTCTCACTGGGCTCCCTCTCTCTCACTGGGCTCTCTCTCTCTCACTGGGCTCTCTCTCTCACTGGGCTCCCTCTCTCTCTCACTGGGCTCCCTCTCTCTCACTGGGCTCCCTCTCTCTCACTGGGCTCTCTCTCTCTCACTGGGCTCTCTCTCTCACTGGGCTCCCTCTCTCTCACTGGGCTCCCTCTCTCTCACTGGGCTCCCTCTCTCTCACTGGGCTCTCTCTCTCTCCCTGCTCTCGCTCTCTTACATTGGGTTCTCTCGCTCTCTTGTTTCTCTCGATCCCTGGCCTCTCTCTCACCGGTTGCTCTCTCTGGTCTCTCACATGCATGTTTTTTCTGGCCTCTGTCTGTACGATCAGCTTTTTCAAAACAGAAAAGTGAAAAAGAGAGGACCACCCCCTCTCATTCAATAAGCTCTCAGCTCAAATAATCAAATACTGACTTTTTCTGACACAAAAGATAAATTCCGCATGTTGTGGTATGATTTGCTAACAACTTTGCACATTAAGGCTTTTTCTAAATGTGTTATTTATTAGACTAAAGTTACGTCGCCCAGCTTTAAAAATGTGTCTCACTGCTCTCTCTCCAACACCTCACACACTCACCTCCACGGGGCCCATCGCGCCTCGCACTTGGGACAAAAAAGAGAAAAGAGAAAAAGATTCTTCAAAAATTAAAACGGAAAACAAGAGAAAGCGCGACAGGAAACAGCGCGGCCAGTGATGATGACGTAGCTGCGCACAGACTCATGCTGGGAGCTGTAGTTTTTGAGCCGCAAAGACAGCTGCTCACTGTCGACATCCTCATCATCTCTGTGGCAAGGGAGAGGATGATTCCGAACATTTGGAAACTACAAAGATTATACACTGGTATAAACTGGTTAGCCATGCTTCTAAGTACACACTGGTGATTCATGCTTCCTAAATCGTTTAGGGTTGACAACCTGTTGAACTGGATCGGTTTAGAGTCACGTGATTTGAACCTGTCATGTATAATGACTGGACACACGCGCACGTGATTTGAACCTGTCAAGTATTATGACTGCACGCGCACACAAATGCACGAGTTGAACCTGTCATGTATAATGACTGGACGCACGCGCACATGAAGTCTACTTTTACGTCAGACTTTACGCTGCACGTGCAGTGGTTCCAGTGTGACGTCAGAGACACGCCCCCCTCATTGAAGGGGGGAGGGGAGCGCACGCGCGCTGCCTCCCTCTTTTTTCTGCAGCATCACCCCTCCCCCTCCCCCCTCCGTGCGCGCTCCATGTCCACGCGCGCTCCCGCCTGTCGTGCACGCGCTGCTGCTGCTGGGGCCACACCGCACCGTCCGCACCGAGGCCCGGGACACAAGCCTTTGATCTGACGGGACACCGCACGAGCCGCGGGACGCAGAGGCAGCGCGTGCGGAGAGGAGCGAAGCGAAAGCGACGCGAACGAGGAGCGAAGCGAAAGCGACGCGAACGAGGAGCGAACGAGGAGCGACCAGTCAGAGGCCTCTGTGAACAAGCATCATGAAGGACCGTACCGCGGAGCTGCGCAGCGTGAGTGGGGCGAGGGTAGAGGGAAGAGGGGTGACGGGTGGGAGACCGGAGGACTGGGATGGGTCTGAAGGCGCTGTGTGATGTGGGAGACAGGATGTGAGTTTGGACACGGGCCTCGCGCCCTCCCGGTGCAGAGGCGCTGTCCGTGGTGCTGACGCCCCCCCTCCCTCCTCGCTCCTCTTTCCGCTCGCGGCGCCGCTGTTCCGCAGCGCAGGCCGCGGTGACACGCGCTGAATACAGAAGCGGAGGCTTCGGTACAGGCCCCGGCGTGGGGGGGGTGTAGTGTGTGTGTGTGTATCTTGGGGGGGGGGGGTTCCGCTCTGCCGCGCGCGCCGCAAAGGCCTCGCGGTGAATGCGGAGGAGACGTGGGGGGGTCCGGGTCTTACACACTGCTGATGGGACAGAGGGGATGAGGGTTACGGGGGAGTGTCTGTGGGGGAGGGGGGCCTCACCCACAGTCCGCTGCGGTCACCGCTGACGCGGCTCTGCGGCACGCGCCGCGGGTTCAGCCGGGTTCACGTGCACGCGCACGGTACCGGCCTGCGCGTACGCGTTCTGAATCACCAGAATCTGGTCTGGACCGGGACTGAACCAGGACCCTGGTCTTGTGTTGGATTCCATAATGAATATGTGAATGACACATTTTATATAACACACTACCACAGAGTACTATACAGTACTACGACACCGTACTTCACCTTACTACACAGTACTACATAGTACCGTACTACACAGTAGTAAACATTACACACATTCAACAATCATTAATTATTGCCATGCTTTGATAAAAGAAGAGTCAATAAAGATAACATCCTTCAGTTCACGGCTAAATTAATCTGTTTTAAACCTGGAGTTGTTGAAATGGTTGTGTGTCCTGGGTCATCGCCACTGTCCGACAGGAAAGGATAACACTCTAATAACTATCAAAAAAGACTGGACTTTGATATAAATTAATGCCTCTTACTTCTGCATTAACCAATTATCACCACAACATTAAAAACTTCGTCCATTGAGAAAGTCAAAGCGCTTGGGTTAAGTCAAAATTGCTTTCTAAAGCCTCCCTCCGGCAGTCTCCCCTCCTCTCTGCCCCTCTCTCTCCACATGCTTAACTAACTTCAAACACCTGTAGTTGCCAACGCTCGTGAAACCCACTTCTAGATACCGTTGTAATAAGCAGAGCCGAGGAGAGGAAAGTGGCAACACACGCGCTTATCTGGGAAAAACTATCGCATGCTGCAATATTGGTCTGACAAGAGGAAAGAATGCACCTGTAGGTAGGAGGAGGCGATAAGGAAACACGAGCCGTAAAATGGCAGTGCTAACACACAATACTCACTTTTTTATTTCCCGCTCCACTCAACAGCCCCGGTGTGAATTTAGAAATGTACTTTTATTTTGTGCAAGACAAAAGTCAAGATAAGATGAAGGTGTTAGCATATCCAGATCACAGCATGTTTATCTCACTTAGCAATTGTTATTATTATTTTTCTGCTGGAGAATTTTGTTTTTAAAGATGGTTTTTATACAGAGAGAGCTTGTAATATCAATGTTCAGAAAAATTACACAATATCGTGAAAAGTTATAACAATTCTCTCATTGCACATAAATTTGCAGCTTGTCCAGGGGCCCCCATCACTGTCACTGGATCTGACCGGGGGCCCCCAATCACAGAGAGAGACCAGAGAGACCAGAGAGGACACCAGAGAGAGAGAGATCAGAGAAAGACCAGAGAGAGACCAGAGAGAAACAGATAGGGACAAGAGCGACCAGAGAGAGACCAAGAGAGTGACCAGTGAGAGACCAGAGAGAGTCCAGAGAGAACCAGATAGAGTCCAGATGAGAGAGACTAGAGTGACCAGAGGAGACCCCTGGAGAGAGAACAGAGAGAGGGTCAGAGAGGGACACCAGAGGGAGACCAGAGATAAAGACCACGTGAGAGATCAAGGAGAGAAGAAAGCGGACCGAGGAGAGAGAAACAGAGTCTAGGATTCTGGGTAATCAAGTAAGGAAATCTATGGGAGGCCCACCATTTACTGTTTTTCCAGAGCTCAGACATTACCCTCAAAACCACGCTCTTTTTGCCTCAGTTCCAGTGAAACTCATTAACCCTGATGTGAAAACCCTCTGTTTCCTTCGTCTTGGAAATTTCTGAAACACGTTGTAAAAAAAAACATTTTCTCCGGCTCTGCATACACCGCCGCACACGTCTTCAGTACCACATCTCCTCGACGCAGGTTCCCCCCATTAGTTGCTTTGTCTAAATGATAGGCTTTCACTTTCTGGTCGCCGCCAGGTGGCCCCTGCGCTGTCATCCAATTCAGACGCCAATTTATTTTAATGTTGCAAATGTGTAGAGTAGAAATTACAGCTTCAATCACTTCCGTTGTGCGCCACCGTTTTCTGGCACAAACGAGCCACATGGGGGACAGCAGTAATAGCTACGCCGTCTGATGTCCAATGTAAATATAGGCTGTGTTTGCGCTGTCTCCCGGCGCCAATAGGGGGTTAAACTAATGGAGCTGCTGTTGTTTTTCCGAAAAAAGAATGGGCACGGGCAGAGCTAGCGACTCACTTCATCTTGGCGTGTGTTGGAGTCCGTGCGATCGACGGGAGTTGTTTGGTTCGCTCTGTTCCCAGCGGCTAACGTCGAGAGCTGTGGTGTTCTGTTGTGATTAATGTGGAGCTCGGAGGAAGATGCAGAGCTCTGAGGAATGGGAGACGGAATGTGGAGTTTATGATTATAGACAGGGGTAGGTGGTAGGTGTGTGTTAAAAGTGAGTGTCTAACTTTAAAACCTCAGAATGTAACTGTAAATGCAAATTCATCTCAAATCATCCTCCATCCTTTGACGGCGTGTTTTCTGACCAAGAGACAACACGTTCAGCCAACGACCAATCAGCAGTCTCCTTTTCACTTTTCAAACCCTAGTAGTATTCAACCACTCAAGTTTACAAAAGACATCATACACATTCACAAGCATATACAACTTATTTGGTGAAAATCTTTGACAGTGATGGGAATAACGGCGTTACTAGTAACGGCGTTACTAACGCCGTTACTTTTTTCAGTAACGAGTAATCTAACTAATTACTTTGACAGTAACTATAACGCCGTTATCATTTCTGACATCCCGTTACTGCGCGTTACTCAAGACGCACAATGAACGTGTTGTCATGAGAGAAGGGAGGATGAGAAAACCTCTCAGCAATTATTGGCTGCTGATGTAAATCATATTTCCTTTACAATCTACATGTCTACAGTTGAGAGGATGGCTCATAAATTGTGTTTTTGAAACAAATATGGGTCTTAATCGCGCTCAACCACAGCTTGTATCACCGTGAGGTCAGCCACAGAGGAGCGCATGTGAGCGCAGAAGTCGGCTGCATACAATTCCATCGATAAGCTCCTTGCTCTTCCTGGTTTATCTGCTAAGGGCTGCAACAGGTTTGGCTAACATACATATAACACATTTTTACATAATCTAAAATGCACATAGGGTAATTTTTCAATTACTATAGGAATGATAAGAAAGAGAGGTGAAGTGTAAGACGGTTGATTTTAGAAATTGGATGCAGCCGGCTGCAGCAAAACAGAGTTTACGGAGGACACACGCGTTTTGTTTTACGTTTTAAAACTCATTACTAGTAACGCCGTTATTCCCATCACTGCTCATTTCCAAATGGAGGATTACATATCTACGCTCAAACCATTCACTGGATTTAAACAAGGAACTGGTCTGAACCGAAGTGGACTGTGCAGGTCATTTATAAGGTAAGTTTTGTATGAACAAACAATGCGGGCATAAAACATATTTTGCTGTAGCCAAACAAATTGTCCACTTGATTTATATGATGTATATGTTCATCTGATTGGACTGAAGTCAGTGCTTCACCAGCCTCACCGCTCGTCACCGGTGTTTCCACATTCACAGTGGCGGGCTTTACAGCACAGACAGAGATGAAGAGTGAACAGGACTTCAGCAGCAAAACAGCCTTTTCTAGATGGAAATATTGGCACTGTTAAAGGTAAAAATGCGCACGTCGGGTGCACATTATGTTCCAGAACAAAACGAAAAAGTAACGCAATAGTTACTTTTACTGGTAACTAGTTACTTTTATAGTGGAGTAACTCCGTTAGTAACTCAGTTACTTTTTGGGAGAAGTAACTAATAACTATAACTAATTACTTTTTCAAAGTAACGTGCCCAACACTGGCTAGGACACAGGAGGTAGGACACAGGAGCTAGGACACATGAGGTAGGACACAGGAGCTAGGACACAGGAGCTAGGACACAGGAAGTAGGAGGTAAGACACAGAAGATAGGACATAGGAGGTAGAACCTGGGAGGTTGGAGGTAGGACTAACCGTGGCAACCTGTGACCCCAAGTCTCGGAGGTCGGCATGTAGGTCACTGAGCACGCTCAGTCTGGTTGACAGATCTCCCACAATCCTCTGCTGCTGCACAAGCCCCTCCCACATTCGCCGCACACTGTCGCCCTGGAAACAGAAGCAGCTCTGTGATTCAGCGTCATTTTGGCCCGTCCGCTGTCAAGCAACTTAATCAGGGGAAAAATCTAGGAGCAAAGTTCCTGACGGCGTCAACGACATCCAACACAAACATAAAAACACACAATCTGGTGAATTAATTTAACTTACGGTTTTTCCATTTTGCCTCAATGAGTGCACTTAAGCTTAAACCAGCTAACCAAACGAATAGTAGACAAGAGGTGGGAGAATGGAATACTTCCTAATAAGTTCAATCAGTTCAAGCAGTTAGAAAACTCAAGCTAACCAGCAGAGGTCCGCGGCTAGTCTATGCAAGACAGTTTTAGCATTTAGCTTACTGTATAGAACGGACCTTGGTTGCTGTGATGGCTCATTAATACAATTTTTTCTCACTTTCTTTTATTTCAAAAGGCATTCTTGTGTTTTGTTTTTTGTGTATGGTTCAATAAATTGATCTAAAAACATATTTTAGCCTTTATTTGACTGTATTGATTACTGAAATTGCATTGACTTGCAGTTTAATTGAAAGTAGCAATATATACTATATATTAATGCTAACCTTTTGAAAAATGCTAATGAAGCATTTAGCATTTTACTTTGGACAAGAGCAGAGAAAATGGTCCAAACCAAGCGGCTACTCCACCCTGTGACCTGTCCTTCTCCACCCAGCGGCTACTCCACCTCTGCAACTGTGACCTGTCCTATCCCACCCAGTGGCTACTCCACCTCTGCTGCTGTGACCTGTCCTACCCCACCCAGTGGCTTCTCCACCTCTGCTGCTGTGACCCATCCTGCTCCACCCAGTGGCTACTCCACCTCTGCTACAGTGACCCGTCCTGCTCCACCCAGAGACCACTCCATCTTTGCTGCTGTGACCTGAAGGCCTGTGGCTGGTTAATACTATTATTAGCTTTTCAGAATGCTCAATTTTATTTTCGCTGCTACTGGACACCTGAATTTCTCCTACGGAGATCAATAAAGTATCTATCTATCTATACTGTATATCAAGCTTCTTTTGACAGGGTTTTGTAACTTAGCTTGCTACATTTTTATGGGTGGTAGGTTCTGTGTAGTAAAGCTGAATTTTTTTGTAGAGGAACTGGTAGATTAGCTCACTGCACAAATCAAGTAGCTTGCCCATCACTGATTGGAAGCATATGTCCACAAGCACTGTGTCCTCCATTGTCAGTCCTGGTGTAATCCTGCTTTAGTTCTTGTATTGGCTGTTTTTGAGTGTCTTCGTCTTCCTACTCTGAACAGCTTGTGTCCCCGTGATCACTTTGCTGCTTTCTGATTGGTTGTTGCACATGCATCAAGCAAAAAAGTTGAGAAATGTTTTTCACCTGCAAGTCTCTGTATAAACCACCCCGTCATACCGCAAAAACATGACGTACAGTACGTCACCATTGTAAACGCCTGTAACGTGAGGTCTCTGAAACAGGTGTAATGTGAGGTCTCTGAAACAGGTGTAATGTGAGATCTCTGACACATGTGTAACGTGAGGTCTCTGACACAGGTGTAATGTGAGGTCTCTGACACAGGTGTAATGTGAGGTCTCTGACACAGGTGTAATGTAAGGTCTCTGAAACAGGTGTAATGTGAGGTTTCTGACACAGGTGTAATGTGAGGTCTCTGAAACAGGTGTAATGTGAGATCTCTGACACATGTGTAACGTGAGGTCTCTGACACAGGTGTAATGTGAGGTCTCTGACACAGGTGTAATGTGAGGTCTCTGACACAGGTGTAATGTGAGGTCTCTGAAACAGGTGTAATGTGAGGTTTCTGACACAGGTGTAATGTGAGGTCTCTGACACAGGTGTAATGTGAGGTCTCTGACACAGGTGTAATGTGAGGTCTCTGACACAGGTGTAATGTGAGGTCTCTGACACAGGTGTAATGTGAGGTCTCTGACACAGGTGTAATGTGAGGTCTCTGACACAGGTGTAATGTGAGGTCTCTGACACAGGTGTAATGTGAGGTCTCTGACACATGTGTAATGTGAGGTCTCTGACACAGGTGTAATGTGAGGTCTCTGAAACAGGTGTAATGTGAGGTTTCTGACACAGGTGTAATGTGAGGTTTCTGACACAGGTGTAATGTGAGGTCTCTGACACAGGTGTAATGTGAGGTCTCTGACACAGGTGTAATGTGAGGTCTCTGACACAGGTGTAATGTGAGGTCTCTGACACAGGTGTAATGTGAGGTCTCTGACACAGGTGTAATGTGAGGTCTCTGAAACAGGTGTAATGTGAGGTTTCTGACACAGGTGTAATGTGAGGTTTCTGACACAGGTGTAATGTGAGGTCTCTGACACAGGTGTAACGTGAGGTCTCTGAAACAGGTGTAATGTGAGGTCTCTGACACAGGTGTAATGTGAGGTCTCTGACACAGGTGTAATGTGAGGTCTGTAACACAGGTGTAATGTGAGATCTCTGACACATGTGTAATGTGAGGTCTCTGACACATGTGTAATGTGAGATCTCTGACACAGGTGTAATGTGAGATCTCTGACACAGGTGTAATGTGAGGTTTCTGACAAAGGTGTAATGTGAGGTTTCTGACACAGGTGTAATGTGAGGTCTGTAACACAAGTGTAATGTGAGGTTTCTGACACAGGTGTAATGTGAGGTTTCTGACACAAGTGTAATGTGAGGTCTGTAACACAAGTGTAATGTGAGGTTTCTGACACAGGTGTAATGTGAGGTTTCTGACACAAGTGTAATGTGAGGTTTCTGACATAGGTGGAGGCTGTGTAAAGCTACGTTCACACCGCCTACGCTTGAACGCAGCGTCCAGTGGCCGCACTGGATCCACATTCACTAAATTTCAGCCGCATAGTAATATATCTGAATTTCTGCCCTGCGATGCCCCAAAACTCAGGACGGAAGTGTTCACGGAGCTGCGCCATAGGTGAACATGTTAGCCGCACTTGTTTACAGTCATGGGAGAAAAAGAAATCAGGCTGGAGGCATATGTTCACAAGCACTGTGTCCCTTCCTGGTTTAATCCTGGTTTAATCCTGGTTTATTCCTGGTTTAGTTCCTGTTTTGGCTGTTTACGAGTAACTTCAGGCTTCTCGCTCTGACCACTAGTGTCCCAGTGACAACTTTGCGGCTCTCTGATTGGTTTCCGCACGTGTGGCCACCGGAAAAAGTTCAACAATGTTCATCTCCTCCACACCACAACGACGCGTCTGCCGCACAGGACAAACGTGCGTGCCGCGAGGCACATGCAATTCCTCGCACGGACGGACGTCACCGTTGACTTTGCATTGAAACTGGACGCAACGCACGATCCGGAGTGAACGTAGCTTTAGTCTTTAGCTGCATTAGCCTTAAGCTGTGTTAACCCTTAGCTCTATTAGCCTTTAGCTTAGCTTTCACACTCACAGCAGTGAAGGTCGCCGACAGTGGCTGCAGCAGTGGGGGGGTCGGGACCTGCAGCTGTGCCGCCATCAGGTGCAGCTGGTGGGTGGGGCCTTCGTAGCTCAGCTGCGATGCAGAGACTGTTTTAGCGTGTAGCTGTGGGAGACAGAGGAGGATCTTCTGTACCACAGCCTGAGCTCTAAGCCAGATCTGCGGAGAGGCGAGCAGGGAGGCTGGGTCGGAGGGCAGTGGAGCGGAGTCAGCCAGGCTCAGCAGCAGGACGAAGGCAACAACTAAACCAGGAAACATCATGATTACTCAGTGTAATACAAATATGAAATTTTCATGACTGAACCACTCAGATACCCAGAAGAAAAGAATGTGATATACTTCACAATCACATTAGTACTACGACCAAAACTATAGCAATACTGCTACTGTCACTGCTACTCCTACTATACACTTAATACGCAGTTACTACACAGTTACTAACCAGTTACTACAGTGACTATAATGAGAGACAATAGACTTACTGGATGAAATGTAAATGACAAGTTCTGATGAGATGGAGACACATGATTTGCTCATATTTTACAATGAGACTACATATGATGTTTGAAGAAAAAAAGTTAGAAATCCGAGCTTTAAAGATCCAGGTTTAAGCGGTTATTGCATATTGTACATTCCTAGTCTCACTGGGACTGGGAATTAAAATCTGATTCCAGACACGTCACAAACGTCATTTTCTTAGCATTTTCGTGGCGCGACGTGTCCTGGATTCCTGTCATTCCACAGACACCAAACCTGAGTCTGTCCTCTCTCCTAACCCCGAAGAGAGGAGAGGAGACGAGTGGCGCGGGTCAAACTTCTTCAGAAAGTTTGGGTCAGACTCACCTCCTTGGACCCCGAGTTGCGCGTGCTGTGCGTGAGAGCATGCGCGCTCACCTGTGCTCGTGCTCATGTCTCCGTCCGCGTGTCCGTGAGTCTCGTGCTTCCATAGGGATCGTGCTCGTGGGCCTTTTATCCACGGCCCCCACCGGGAATTTAATTGACTCCCGTCCCGTGCGACTCATCCACGAAAGTCCCGATTAGACCTGTGTTACGTAACTACCGCGAGTACTACGCAGTACTGGAGTATTACAGAAGTACTTCAGACGTCACATCTGCGTCAGCTTTCACAACAGCACAAACACTTCCTCCACTTGCGACTCAAGTACTACAGTACTACTACTACTATAGGACTTCTGCACTGAAATTCTGCTACTACTACTAACACTACTCTCAGCAGGAGGGTCTTGCCTCCTGCTGGTGCCCAGAGTCAGGACTTTCAGATATATGCAGCTAAAATCAGGAACAGTCTTCCTGGAAATATGAGACAGGCTTCGACAGATCTGAGCTGCTACAATTGTTTTTAGAATGTATTATTTCAAAAGAATGACTGTGCTGTGATGATACCTCATTTTAATGTTCCAGTCTTGCTTTGTAAAATACTTTGAGTTGTGTCAGATAAAACTTGGCTTCTGTGAAATGTCAGACATTTGTCTGTATTAAAACAGCATCAGTGACCAACACACAAGTACAGCGGAGCTTAGGGCACAAGGGCTGTCCACTCACATGTTACTACTACTGCTAACGCTACTGCTACTTCTAAGACTGCTAATGCTACTCTTACTGGTGTTACTACTACTACTGCTGCTACGGCTACTGCTAGTACTACTGTTACTACTACTGATTCTATGGCCACTGCAACTGCGATTGTTATACTACTACTACTACTACTACTGCTACAGCTTTTACAACGGCCACTGCTGCTTTTACTACTACTACTACTTTTACCACTATGGCTGCTAATGCTGCTGCTATTTCTACTGCCACTGCTACTATTACTGATAATACTCAATTACTGCTGCTGCTGCTACTACTACTACTACTGTAGTATGTGTACTTTTCCTGTGTGCAGCCCTCAGTGTTTCTCAACTTGTGGAGCAGGACAGTGCCCTCTGGAGTCCCCCATGACCAGTTTTTTAAATGTTATTTATAAAGTTGTGGTGGTGAAACCCAACCCCTTAAAAATAAAGCCTATCTAATACATAACAGCAGTAATCAAACCTTTATGAAAATAAATCAAAAGCTTCTAGCTTGTCTAAAACACAGCAACATGAACCTTAACATGCACCAACACGAGGGAACACACAACTCCAGTGTTAAAATCTCTCCTCTATCAAATTTGAAATCCTTCTTTTAACATTCATTCCTTCCTTAAGATCTGCTTTATTAATCAATTTGTGGGTCGGGGGGTGGGGGGGCAATCACTGCTTCCAATCAATGTAGGTCGAGAGTCCACAGAAGGATGGCTGCTCCATCAGCGATGACAGGACCTTGGTCTTTCAGCAGGGCTTCAGGCAGAGTGGGGTTAAGTGTCTTGGACACAACGACAGGACACGTCTGAGCGTGAAGATGGAGTAGGTCTTGTGGGGGGATCGAATCCACAACTATATTAGACCCGAAGATCCAGGATGCAAGGACTATAGACCAGTGGCAATAACATCTGTAATAATGAAGACTTTAGAGATGCTAGTACTCTTGACTGTTTAAACCACAGGTCGACAGGACTCTTGACCCCCTGCAGTTTGCCAATCAGAAGGACATAGTATGTCAGGCTAGGAAAGAACATGTCTGGGACTGTTGTGAGCTATACAGGAGCACCACAGGGTACCGTTCTCGCTCCTTCACAATTTACACTACAGACTTTGCACACAACTCTACAATATGCTACATACAAAAATATTCGGAGGATCCTGCTGTGTGGCATGTGTGAGGGGGGATGAAGCAGAGTACAGCTGCTGGTGGCTTTCTCAAACTGGTGCGAGATAAATGATTTGATCCTTAATGCGTCCAAGACAAAGGGGATGATCATTGACTTTCACAGGAGCCCCTCCCATCCACCGGCCACACCGGTTGAAGTGGTACAGTCCTACAAATACCCAGGAGTCCACCTGGACCACAGACTGGACTGGTCAGCTCAGGCCAATGCTGGTTTTAAGAAAGGTCAGAGCAGACTGTTCTTCCTGAGAAGACTGAGGTCCTTTGATGTGTGCTTTCAGGTGTTGCACATTTTTTACCAGTCTGTGGTAGCTAGTGCCGTGTTCTTTGGGGTCGCGTGTTGGGGCGGCAGTCTGACCTCAGAGACAGTGGCCGGCTCGACAGGCTGATCAGGAAAAGTTTCTCTGTGCTGGAGAGAAGGATGAGGGCTCTACTGCAGGGCATCCTGGGTAACTCCAGACACCCTCTGCATGACACTATGGCTGCTCAGAGTAATCATAGCAACAGGCTCCTATCACTCCGCTGCCAAATGGAGAAGGCATATGGAGAAGGGATCTCCATATGCAGCATCTTGGACAATCTGCTGGGGAAGTATATGGCAACAGCACTATCCTCTCCTATTCCTTCTTTATCTGTCGTCATTATCACTTCAGCCGTAGTCTGATCATCACTATTGACCCGCTGTCCCAGTGTCTGTTTCATGGTGTGATAAAGGAACCCCTGAATCCAGCCTTTTTCTTCACTTTTTTTCTGTGTTTCTGAGTGGTTCTTTGCCGATGCAGGAGGCACTAAGCAGGTCATTGATGATCCGGACATTTCTGAAAAGGTTTTAACGTTTCTGGACCGGTCATACAGCTCTATATGGACCGATGGCTTCTATGTGTTCGAACTGTTTGATTCTCTGATCTGTTGTTGGTGAATTCACAAATTTGTATTGTCCTTCAAGGCGACTGCTGTTGTGATTTGTGGCAATACACAAATAAATTGAATCAAAGTGTGATTTGGTGAAATGTGGAAACTAACCTCCTTTCAGTGTGAAGCTGTGACTCGTGATGAGGTCATTATGTCTCAATCGGAGACTAAAGCCTTTAATGTCTTTAGTGTTGTAACATTTTAACTTTTCAACTTTTGGAAACATCAAAAACTCCAGACTTCAAAAGTGCCGGCAGTTGGAGGCAGTGTAGGGCTCGGGAGGCAGATCATTGGCTCATCTTTTGGGAATGCCCAAATTGAAAGCAATTCACTCTAAAACTTCACACTATAATAATAAATGTTCTGAAAATTATAATACCAATTGTAGTTTACCATCCTATTCCTGAACTGTTTGGACAACCAAACCAGATATACAAACAAATATCTCTTTTCCATTATGATCTCTGCTGCTAAAAAGACTATTACAAGACGGTGGCCACTGTGGCAGAGCCGAAGAGTATTGTAGGTGAGATTTATACAATAAAAGCAGTTTTCTATTTGTCTTTTATTAGATTATGGTCTAAATGTGTCAGATAGATACACTACCACTACAACCAGATTTTTTGGAGGTCCAAAATAATTGATCTATGTCCCTTTTAATCTGGTTTATGAAATTTGTTTTGAATTGTATTTTATTTTGTAAAACCTACTAAATGTGTATTTAGATTTTTTCTTATTTTATTTAATCTCTCTCTTCCTGTACATACTTAAACCTAAATATAGTTGTGAAAAAAGAAAAAAGTTAAGTAACATTTTTAACAGTGTTTTAAAACTATGTTGTCTAATTATTCACTGTCTTCTCCTCTTCTGGGCCTGACCTAAGGGGTCAACCCTCACAACAATCACCAGTATACCTGTTGGAGATATTTCTCAATTTTAGATATTTGTTCTGAGACTCTAATTTAGTACTTAGAACTTGCTCAGTTAATTTGTTTGAGATCAATTTGCATTTATCATTGCATATTTAATGTGATTTTGTCATAGGGTTATATAAGCCTTTCGTAGGAGGGAAGTTTTGTAAAAAAGGGATTTTTACCAGCATGGAAGAGGCTCAAGACTCCACACTTTGCCTCCAGAAAGAATCCGTAGCTATAAGAGATATCTCACGTGACGTCACGATGCCTCGAACTCGCGGGGCATCCGCCATACTGGAGGACAAGCAAACGCTGTATGATAGTGGCGTGCACCCGGGACCGCATAAACATGTTCAAAATTTTTGCCGTTTTTGGCTGCAGTAAAAGGAGAGACAGAGAAAATAAGTTGTGTTACCGACTGCCAGCCGTCCTTACTTCACACGGCTCCAAAACAGAAGAAATCTCAAAGAAACGAGAGAGAAATGGCACAACCATACGCAACAACAAAAAACTAATAGCCCCCAGAGCGCCCGAATATGCTCGGATCATTTAATTTCTGCTAAGTGAAATCAATTTGATGGCGGATTTAGTGTTATTCCGAAACAAACATAAGTTTAAGGATAAAACATATCTGTCTGACTGCAACGTGGGGTTGCTCCATAGACTGTAGCTTAGCTTGTAGCATAGCTGTTATATATTTGGTCTCACACAGGCCCTCGCCCGGTTCACAGGGGATCTGACTTACCGAAGGCCAGCAGACATGTGAACGACTGAGCCGTGCTCCAGGGTGCCCCGTACTAGTATTTATTAATAAAATATACGGCTCCTCACAGTAGACGCAGAAAGCTCCATTGATTTGAATGTAATCTCATTATTTCCACTGCAGTGTAGCCACACATAGATCCATGGTGTAACAATAAACACATTAAATGTTAATCGGAGAATACATTATACATATACATTCTTAATACACGTGCACAGAGGTTTTCAGAATTTTCTGTTCACGTTTTCATGAAAAAACCCTGTTTTCATGAAAAAACACTGTTTTAATGCGACCGCGGTAAACCTGGATGTAACGATAAACATACATTTTAGGACGCATTTCCAGAGAATCTGCTTCATGAATTTAGGTTGAGTATATATTTGGGTCACTAACTGCTGAAGTTGAACGTCCAGTTATAGATAGCTAGCAGGGCTGTTACTCGCCGAGGTTGTCCTCCAGTATGGCTGCCGTGGCTGCTAGTCACGTGACCGTAGGGTTTTGGTCAGTGTCCTGAAGGAAGCACTCTTCCCTGTCCCTGATGAAGAATGGTAGCCCCACAACATGATACTACCCCTCCCTCAGATTGATGACAGAGCTAGTGTTGGCCTCCTCTGACCACAGCAGGATGCTGCCCTCCTTCCTCACACTGAGGACTGTATGTAAATAAAATTTAGAGAAGTGTGTGGTGTAATTCATTCTTTGTTTTAATTTGATTATTTAGAAAAAAGATTGAGCCAAAGCCAGCTAAACTTCCCCTAACAAACTGGCAACCCAAATGAGCCTCTTTCTGCTCTTCTGCCCTGAACTCAGTTCTACAGTTTGATGCTTTTCGGAGCTGGAGCTGCTCCTTTGAAAGTTACAGAGAGGAGCTTTAACATATTTGTCACGCGCAGGCGCAATGGTACCACGGAAGTGACGCTGCAGAATCAACGCGTTTTGCTGCTTTACGAAAACAAACCCAACCGTGGACAGGTCTACGAGGTTATTTTGAATGTAACCGCTCTAAAGAAATAGCTTTACATCCACAAAGCTCTAAGAACAGAAGACACTCGACCCAGACCCACAAACGCAGAACTAACCCCCGAATCATGAAGGAGACCGCGGCCAAGCGACGTGACAAAGCGGCGACCAAGGACAAAAAGGATCCAAAAGAAATCCCCAAAAGTTCCGAGCCCCAGGATCAAGACATGCCCGAGGAGGAGGCCCCAGCGGCGCCTACAGCCGGGGAGAAGGACGCGCTGACACTGGAGGGTGAGAGCCGGGAGAATGTGTTAGCTTCGTGCTAGCTTCGTGTTAGCTTCGTGTTAGCTTCGTGCTAGCTTCGTGTTAGCTTCGTGTTAGCTTCGTGTTAGCTTCGTGTTAGCTTCGTGTTAGCTTCGTGTTAGCTCCATGACTCTTTAAAATGCCAGACATTCTTCCCACAAAAAGCCGTATCTTTTTTTCTTGTTATCCTGAATCTGGACACTAGCTCTAACTCAAACTAGACACAAGGACTCCAGGGAAATGTGGAAAGCATTTGGATATTAGCTTTTCTGTGGATGAATGCCCTGTTAGCATTGTTAGCCGTTAGCTCCAGACTGTAGTCATGACATGTCAGTGTAGTGTCACACATAACGCTACACCTGCTCAGAACACATGTTAAGTTAGTGGCGTAGCTTTATGTCTTTCTTAGATCTGCTTTTCTTCGTGTCCTGAATCACTTTCGTGGAGTCAGACTCAGGGAGGGCCAGTGTTTTTATTTGTTTAACATTGTGGTTAAATAAGTGGTGTCAGGGTCTTGACCAGTTTCCAGGTTATAATATGTAATAACTACCATGTAGTTATTAAACACCATGTTTAATTATTTGAAATTTCTGAAGGAAAAAAGTTACGACTGTGGTGTAAGCGCATTTTTTACCCGGCAAGGTATCAATCAATCAATCAATCAATCAAATTTTATTTATAAAGCGCTTTTCATACAAAAAGTGTAACACAAAGTGCTTTACAGTTTAGTTAAAAACAATCCAACATGCCCAGCCCTAAACCCTCCTCCCCACAGACCCCCCAAAACCACATTTATAATTATATATACAATACACACACACACACACACACACACACACACACACACACACACACACACACACACACACACACACACACACACACACACACACACATATATACATAAGTATAAAGTCATATCAGGTAAAATAGGTAAAACAATAAAAAGAAATGGGGCTGGGAGCAGATGTAACCGGCTGAAGAAGCGTCATCCAAGGAGCCATCTACACCAGGAGCAGAGAGCCGGCTGCAGCCACAGGCAACGACACAGGACCCAGAGGAGAGAGGGGCCCCAGACCCCACCAGGCCCAGGGCTCAGACCCCATAGGACCCAGAGGAGAGAGGAGGCCCCAGACCCCCACCGGATCCAAGAGCCAGTCCCCCGAAGCCACAGCAGACCCCAGCTCTCAGTGCAGAGGGCTCCTCCAGAGGAAACACTGGGGGCACTAAAACAATACAATAATGCAATAGAAAGTAGAACAATAAAATGTGAAAATAAAAAGAAAAATGGCAGCTGCCTAATATTGATAATAACAATAGTAAATGAGTAGATACAATAAATAATTAAAAATAGTAAATAATAAAATTAAATAAAAATATAATCCGTCTAAAAACATAAATAGATGTACTAAAAAGCAATAATAGATAATAAATACTAATCAAAAGCTGCTCTAAAAAGGTGCGTCTTGAGCCTACTCTTAAAAATATGAACGTTCTCTGCGGCCCTGAGCTCCTCCGGCAGACTGTTCCAGAGACGGGGGCCGTAGTGCTGGAAAGATGCCTCGCCGTGAGTGTGTGTCCTGACTTTGGGGATGGTTAGGAGTCTGCTGCCGGAGGAGCGCAGGGGCCGGGAAGGTTCATAGGATAAAAGCAAATCTGAAAGATAAGAAGGCCCAAGACCATTAAGACATTTAAAAACCATTAAAAGAACCTTAAAATCGATCCTGAAACACACGGGGAGCCAATGCAGCGATTTTAAAACCGGTGTAATGTGGTCCCGCCCCCTGGTCTTAGTCAGGACACGTGCGGCCGAGTTTTGAAGTAATTGTAAACCTGAAATGTTCTTTTTGGGAAGACCAGAGAGCAGGGCATTACAGTAGTCAATGCGACTGGTGATAAAAGCATGCATCAGCGTCTCCGTGTAAAACTAAACAGGTAAAACTATATACATCTCGTATAGTATCTTTTTCTTATCTTTATTTGAATTGGGACGGTGCACATTCATCAACATGTGTTTTTAACATGTAAATGTGCCAGAGTTAGCCATGTAGGCTAATTTTCATCCGTAGTCCCATGGCCCATCTGACCTCACTCCCTTCCTCCAAGAGGACAAATCTTCTCTCAGTATGTGATCCACCCCCACACGTGTGAGATCTTGCACTAAAATGACATATTGTGAATAAACAAATCAAATGTTGTACACAACTTGACCTGGCTTAGACACCTGCTTTGCATCCATGGGAACTCTCATGGGAACCTTTTTGACCAGTGCCCAGATTTTCTCTCAGAAATATCTATAAATAAATTTGACCAAGGTTCATTTGAGTTTTATTTTGCAGCATCTGTCGATTCCATCATGAGCAAAATGTTTTGGAGCGGCAAAATGGCTGAGTGGTTAGCACTCTTACTTCTCAGCAAGAAGGTCCTGGGTTCGAATTCCGTTCGGAACAGTGCCTTTTTGAGAGAAGCTTGCCTGCCCTCCCCTTGCCTCCGTAGATTTTGGGTGCTCCTGTTTCCCCTACCACTAAAAACATGTATAATAGGTAAAATACTTCAGCTCTGGTCCTGACAAAGTCGAGCATCAACCATTTTTCAACAGCAGGAAGACGAAGACGCCAAAACAAGAGCTTAACCAGGACTGACAATGGAAGACGCAGTGCTTGTGGACATATGCCATCACCCTGAGTTCTCATTCTACCGTGACCGGATTCAAGTGCTGCTAACGTGATTGGAGATAGGAAAGTATCGGTAAATAATATACTGCATCCATGGCATAGCTTTGTGAGCAAATAGCAGCAAGCAGCGCGTTTACGTTAGGAGCTGCTAGTTTAAACTTGCGATTCGTTGTGTGAATGCAGATCTAGATCAAGGAACTTGTAACCTGGATTTGATTTAGTTGTGGTTTCAAAGTTAGGTAACCCCGGCTTATATAATTTTTGCACTGCACAGTAGTAACACTCGGGTTCACCCCAACCGTTCAGTGAAGACATTTAAAACACTAAATGCGTAATTTCTAAATGGATCAACAGGTCTGAATGAAGGCATTTGTGGATATGAGGACAATTTTACCCCTGACATAGCATTCTTAAACACATGGAGGCAAAATACATTTGTCCTGAAAGATTATGTAAAATGTGCGCCACATAGAAACGGCTGTGTGTGAAATCAGTGCGACATTCGTGGTTTATGTCATTTTTAACAGGTTTGTGCTTAACAGGGTTCTGGTGAGAAGCTGTCTCTGGTCTGACCAGGTCTCTTATTCCTAGTCAAACTGGTAAACTGTTCCCTGGTCTCTGATCTGGTTCCTGGTCTAACCTGGTCTCTGGTCTCTGGTTCCAGATATCAAAGAGCACGTCCGTCAAATAGAGAAGGCTGTCCAGGGGAAGGAGCCACGGTACGTGCTGCGTGCGCTCAGAGCTTTGCCCGCCATTACCCGCCGCCTCAACACCACCGTGATCCACAAGACTGTGAGCGGGTACTACACCAGCAACACCAGCACCAGGGAGTACCTGCTGGGGTTCATCGACGAGGTACACACAGAGAGACACACGCACAAACACACTGTCACACACAGACAACTTTAACCCCTCCTTTTTTTTTTAGCCCATGGAGATGGCAGAAGGAGATGTTCAGTTCAGACCTCGCACTGGTAAAGCTGCTGCTGCTCCTCTGCTCCCAGAGGTGGAGGCGTATCTGCAACTGCTGCTCGTGATTTACCTGTGTAACAACAAGAGCTACGCGCAGGTAATGTTGAACTATCTGAGTTTGATTAGAGTTTTTGTTTTGCCTTAAATTGCTTTTGATTACTTTAAAGATGCAGTCAGTGATTTTTTTTCCAGACGCATTTTTTGAAATATTGTGGGAAAACGTCCCTAAACCCTAAATGTAGTGTTTTCAAATATTAATGGAATTGACCAGATGCCTTTAGTCTCTATTTAAATAATAGTAATTTGGAGCAGACCGATAAAAATAAACCAATGGGATTCGTTCATCCCCAACGAACCAATGGGATGCATTTACCCTCTTCACCCTCTTCCTCACGAGTGCATCTGAGTTATCTGATTATTTTCGAAAAGCTAAAAGGGCTGAGCAGAAAATGCCAGTTTCACGTGTGCCGCCCACTCTCCCTGTTGTGACAAAGAAAAGAAAATGCTGGATGTTAGGTTTGGTGGAGAGGCGAGGGGAGGGGGTAGTGGTTTCCAGTTGGTGCTACGGCTAAGCTAACAAAATGGCTTACTGCATTTTTAAGTTAATTTCAATTTAAGGATAATATACCTATGAAACAATGAATAAATATCTGCTATTCAGAAGCTACAATGATTGCATTTTTCCACTAGATGTCAGTGTTACAAGCTAGTCTGAGCTCAGAGGCTTCATCACTATTGTCACAATATAATTTTTTTTAAATAAAAATGACGTCATGGTCTCGGCAACAAAATTAAAGAGACAGCACTTGATGCATATTCTTAGTGAAACATATTTTTTCTTCAAACTTGATGATGAGGCAAAGAGCTGCATTCTGATTGGCCAAGAGCCAGCGCAACCTTGTTAATTTTAGACTCTCATATAGTGACATATATATTATATTTTTTATATATGTGTGTATATATATTAGTGCCAAGCATTCTAGGAACTCCTTCAAGACTGTTGAAGACCATTTCAGGTCACTACATCTTGAAGCTCATCAAGAGAAGTCAAAGAGTGGGTGAAGCGGTAATCGGAGCACAAGGTGCTGCTTTGAAGAACCTAGAATATTAGACATAAATTCAGTTGTTTCATACTTTTTTTTTTTTAAACGTACATAATTCCACATGAGTTAATTCATAGTTCAATGCAACCAATGAGCATATGTTTAAAAGACCGACACTTGTCTGCTGGTAAGCGGGGCGGAAATTTGGGCTCCGGGTTGGCGATAAAGGCGGCAGGGTGCGCAGCCTGCGAAAACCTGTAAGTGCCATTCTAACTTCGGTCTACGCCCTGTCTCTGTCCCAGGCTCAAAAAGTGTCCGATGACCTGATGCAAAAGATCTGCTCAAAGAACCGCAGAGCACTGGACTTGGTGGCGGCAAAGTGCTTCTACTATCACAACAGAGTCTACGAGCACCTGAAGGAGCTGCACACCATCCGCAGGTACACAGCACCTGTGTCTCTCTGCACCTCCGTCTCTCTCTCTGACCTGCAGCTCTTTGTCTCTCTCACTCTCTCTCTCACTCTCACACTCTCACTCTCTCTGACCTGCAGCTGTGTTTGTCTCTCTGCATGCACAGCTTCCTCCACATGCGGCTGCGCACCTCTACGCTCCGTCATGACACTGATGGACAAGCTGTGCTGCTGAACCTACTGCTGAGGAACTATCTGGAGTTTAACTTGTACGACCAGGCAGAGAAGCTGGTGTCCAAGTCAGTTTTCCCGGAGGTGGCCAACAACAACGAGTGGGCCAGATACCTGTACTACACCGGTGAGTGCTGCTGCTTGGGAATGCCAAAACACAAGGTTCTTGTTGAAGAGAGAATATTTATTCAGTTCCACTAGGAATCATGTTCCACGGGGTATAACAAGTGCCCTCCTGCACCGTGCAGTGATGCAAAAGCACCCACGACAGAGCATAACACACATTAATAATCTCCCCCTTTGCTTTGGGAGTCACACACACTCAATCTACATAAAAAAGTGTACTTTTTGGTAAATGTACATTTCTCCAGTGACAACTAGGACATTTTTTTATCGTGGCTTACTGCAGAAAGTTGATCTAATGCCCACGCAATTCTCCATGTCTAAAATAGGTCCAGGTCCTTACAGGAATATTTTTCTCAACTCAATATCAGGAGGATTACTTAGGTTTCGGTGTGGCACTTTTGTGTCCAATCTTTGCAAGAAGCTTGACTCTTCTGTTTGAGTACACAACTTGACCATCTCTAAATCTGAATGAATGGTTGCTAGGATAATGTTTGCAACAGTTTGTTGATTTGGAGTTTAACCCTATGAACCCGTCTGCATCGGCGCCGATGCATGCACACATGTTTTACAAATGATCAATTTACTCGCGAACGGTAAAACATAGCAACTTACTTTTTTTCCCTCTGTGAAGTATGTATTCAGGGCTTTCCGAAACTAGTTCCCTTGTTGATTTGTCTGTGCGATGCACGGAGGATAAACTACGTTTGTCTGAAAGTCCGTGTCCAAAGCGTGACCCGTGAGGTACAAACAGCTGTGAGATACAAACACACGGGGACTGCCAAAGATCGTCAGAGAGTGAGATGTCTCACTCCTCTGTCTGTACTTGTTGTCCCACAGTTTAAACTACAGCTGCGATTGCAATAACCGGCTGAAGAGTGCGCATTATTGATAAAGACGATAATAAATACAGTAAAATGACCTTATGTGTATATGATGTATATAAATATATGTATTATATAAATAATTTATGTTTTTTTTTTTTTTTTTGGCTCAGTTTCTTATGTTTTACGTTTTTTACAGCTGTGCTACAGAAGCAACCCCAGCATTATAGACAAACTGCTTCAGGAAGGGCATCAGGAGTACAGAGTTTTTTGCTTTTATAGTGGAATATAAAGTATAATAGTTAGAGATTCAATTTTTTTTCCCCATTATCCCCATGACCCTAAATAACATTTCTATGCAGTGTAAAAAGTTGTTTATAGCATTTCATTGTGTTTTTTCAATACATTTTTGTTAAATTGATTTTCCGTTTGATTTTTTTCTTTGTCTTCATGACTCCATAAGTTTTATATAATTCATATGACAGCTTTACAATATGAATATTCTAAAACCCCAGGTTGTACTGAAAAAAACAAAGTATACTGCTTGACTCTGCATCAAAAGATGACTGTTTTATGAACAATTATACATAAAGAAAACAAGGCGAGGAAAGTTCTCCAAAATGACCCATGTGCTTAGAGGGTTAATATACTTCTAACCACAAGCGGTACGTGTACAAGCTGCGTCAATAGTGGCGGATCACAAAGGCTTGGTTTGGAATAGTTAAAATTCAGTTAACTTTACTCAATTTCTGCCCAATGATGAGTACTCTGACACGCTGCTCATCTCGTCCACGTACGTATTTGTCAAGTGGATTTTTTTCTCCGTACACGCTATCAGTGTGTGCGGTTTGCTTTTTCCCTCCAGATATGCCGTGTCCAGTAACTTGAAAGCCAGTACAGCTATTTCACTGCTCAGTCAACGATGTAGCACTGCCTCGAGTGAAAATTACTCGAGGCAGTTCAGCCGCCATCATCCACTAGGAATAACAAGTGCCCTCCCGTTCCTGCGCAGTGACACAATGGCACCCGTGACAGAACGTAACACTGCTACTGTTGCTGCTAAATCAACTGTTTCTACTGCTGTTACTGATGCAGTACTTGGTCTTCAGGGCGCATCAAGGCGATCCAGTTGGAGTATTCTGAGGCACGACGCACTCTGACCAACGCCCTGAGGAAAGCACCTCAACACACAGCAGTGGGGTTCAAACAGACGGTAAGATCCTACAGGGGCTCTTGAGTCCTCTGCTCTGGGTCCTCTGCTCTGGGTCCTCTGCTCTGGGTCCTCTGCTCTGGGTCCTCTGCTCTGGGTCCTCTGCTCTGGGTCCTCTGCTCTGGGTCCTCAGCTCTGGGTCCTCAGCTCTGGGTCCTCAGCTCTGGGTCCTCAGCTCTGGGTCCTCAGCTCTGGGTCCTCAGCTCTGGGTCCTCAGCTCTGGGTCCTCTGCTCTGGGTCCTCTGCTCTGAGTCCCCTGCTCTTCCTCAGGTCCATAAACTCCTCATTGTGGTGGAGCTGTTGTTGGGGGAGATTCCAGAACGACTGCAGTTTAGACAACCGTCACTCAAGAGGTCTCTGCACCCCTATTTCCTCCTCACCCAAGGTAAGTCTTCCTCACCTCCTCTTACTTCCTCTCACCTCCTCACCTCAAACCTGGTTGTGTTTCAGCGGTCCGCATGGGGAACCTTGCAAAGTTTAACCAGGTCCTGGAGCAGTTTGGGGAGAAGTTCCAGACCGATGGGACCTACACTCTGATCATCAGATTGAGGCACAACGTCATCAAGACAGGTGCTGATACTGATCTAATACTGATACTGATACTCCCTATACATTGCGGTTCACCTTTCACTGTTTCACAAATGTCTTGGCTCTCTGGTCTCTCTCGCTGGTGTCTGTCTCTCCCTCTCCCTGGTCTCTTTCTGGTCTCTCTGCTGAGGTTTTATATTTCTGCCATCACACTTCAACAGCCGTGAGTTCAGGTCATTAGAAAAGTGTATAAAGTGTGTGTGTGTGAGAGGTTTTAGAGCCTCTTCAAGGATTTCATTTATTGTGGCTTATTTTTAGAACACATCACCCGTGTGACGTGTTCCAGGGGCGTATGTGTATCGGACGAATTAGGAAGCACATGTTCCTCGTACAGTCTGACAGTGGCTCTCCTTACAGGTGTGCGTATGATCAGCTTGTCCTACTCCCGAATCTCTCTGAGCGACATTGCACAGAAACTACAGCTGGACAGTCCGGAAGACGCAGAGTTCATTGTGGCCAAGGTAACACACTTGACGGTGACAGAATTGGGTCTGGACCGTAATGGGACTTGACATTGGGCAGGACTCATTGTCAAGTCCTGTTATACCCGGTCTAACACTCATGTGTTGCAGGCAATCCGGGATGGTGTGATTGAAGCCAGTATAAACCATGAAAAGGGTTTTGTTCAGTCCAAAGAGACGATGGACATCTACGGGACCAGAGAACCTCAGCTGGCATTCCACCAGAGGATCTCTTTCTGTCTGGACATTCACAACATGTCTGTGAAGGTGAGACCAATTCAATTCAAATTATTCTTGTATAGCCCTAAACCACAACATTAGTCATCTCAGAGGACTTAATGAAACCATGGAAATCATCAACACAAGTCAGAGAATCAAACTGATCAAGCACAAAAATATAGAACACAAAGTTATTGGTCCATAGGGGGAGTTTAACCAATGTCCATGAAAGACCAGAGAGAGAGGGGGAGAGACCAGAGAGAGAGAGGGGGAGAGACCAGAGAGAGAGAGGGGGAGAGACCAGAGAGAGAGAGGGGGAGAGACCAGAGAGAGAGAGGGGGAGAGACCAGAGAGAGAGAGGGGGAGAGACCAGAGAGAGAGAGGGGGAGAGACCAGAGAGAGAGAGGGGGAGAGACCAGAGAGAGAGAGGGGGAGAGACCAGAGAGAGAGAGGGGGAGAGACCAGAGAGAGAGAGGGGGAGAGACCAGAGAGAGAGAGGGGGAGAGACCAGAGAGAGAGAGGGGGAGAGACCAGAGAGAGAGAGGGGGAGAGACCAGAGAGAGGGGGGGGAGAGACCAGAGAGAGAGGGGGGGGGTAGAGACCAGAGTGAGGGGGAGCCACAGTTGTTCGTATATTCTAGAGCAGTCCCATGCGTAGTTTTGCAGAGAGTGTTGTAATGCCACACCCAACCACATGACGGCTATCACACAGGAATAGCCTGGGACACCAAAGCTAGCTACTTTCTCCTCTTCAGCACAAAAACAATGGTGAACCAAGGTGTTTGAGCTCATTAAATGTGTTTCTAAGTTTCTGTGACAGTTCTATGACCTTATCGCTTCATAACTAATTTCAACTGTGATGCTGTGAAAAAAGACAAAGTTCTTATTAAATTATTATTATTATTATTAAATGGTTATTAAATTGTGCTAAATATCTGAGACCAAATATGAACTATTTACAAGAGCAGGAAGAATGCAAAAAGATGCAGATGTGATGACTCTTTACAAGTGTAGATTCAACAAAGACAGGCGCAAGAATATTCAGATTCAGACTACTTTCATTTGAGCAGCACATAACATTAAAAAACACAGGAAATGTGATTGGACATGAAGTGGAGTCCCGTACAAACATATGAACATGATACAACAATACAGCTCAAACATCAAAGTCCACATCCAGCTACAGAGAGTTCAGCAGTCTAATAGCAGTTGGGACAAAAGATTTTAAATGATTGGTTTTACAATGTGGTGCAACATAACGTCATCCTGATGGAAGCAGAGTGAACTCCTCATTCAGAACATGATCAGTGGACATTATGATGCGAGCCTTTCTCACGATCTGCTGGTTACAGAGAGCGGACAGTTCCCCCTTTCCAACTCCTATGAATAGTGCAAGAAACTAATATAAATGTTCGGTGCAATACGCAAACAATACTCTAGTCCACAGCCTCCTTGTCAATCAGGCTCGTGAGCCCAAAAGTTTTTCTTCGTTCCCCTTCGAAGCAAACTGCTCCGAAGTGCCTCGTCCATGTTCTACTCATGCTTCCATCCAAAACATAATCATACATGTGCCAATAACAACGAACTTTCTTTGTCCTGCCGTCTGCATAGTTGGAAAAAACCGAAGGTGGTAGTGCAAGGGTCTTGCGGTGCTCTTTGCGTTGGTCTTGTGACATTTGGTGATGTCACGAGGGTGTAGAATACATAGGCCTTTAGTCTTGATCAGTGCTTCTCACATTTGGGTGGGTCGTGCGGGACCTTGGGGAACATGCGTATTTGAGTTTTTGGTCTGTCTCCGTACACAGTGTAATGATATCTGCTCTCCTTGTTTCAGGCCATGCGGTTCCCTCCCAAAGCCTACAACAAGGACCTGGAGTCTGCAGAGGTACGAGCACAGTGGCCCTGATGGTCACATGATGGTCACATGATGGTCACATGATGGTCACATGATGGTCACATGATGGTCACATGATGGTCACATGATTTTCTGCACGTGTGTTGCAGGAGCGACGTGAACGTGAGCAGCAGGACCTGGAGTTTGCCAAAGAGATGGCTGAGGATGACGATGACAGCTTCCCCTGAGAGACAGTCACACATGTCTACACTCATGCACACATATATGTACACACACACACACACACACCTCTCTCTGTACTGATGTGTTCATGTAAAACTTAAATAAACCCTTTTTGTTTGAAATGTTTGTTTGTCTGTGAAGATAAAGGGTTAAATCAAGTTCTCTTGATCTCAAACGGCAGGTGGTGGATCCTGTTGTGGATCCTTAGGCCCGGTTTACACGGAGACGCAGACAAGCAAACAACCCCACTCCGGATTGGAAGAGCAAAGCGTCTACATGTTGTAACTATTTCTAACTTCCGGCCAGTAGTGGGCAGTGGAAAGCCGAAAAGTAGTAGATGGAGTAGAATTGCTCCTCGTGGTAACGCTAAAAGCACACAGCGTAATGGTGCTTTCAACGCTGAAGCCTCGCTCATCAGACGCACATTCTCTAGTTTTCAGACGTAGGGGTCTTCAGACCAGAAGTCCTGGCGCGCGCCGGCAGTGGCGGAAGTAGCCGGCGGGATTTGATGCTAGCGGCTTCTTGTGTAAAGATCTTCTCCAATAAGGCAGCTCTGCAGCGTCTCTGTGTTCAGAGACCTTCCACAGACTTTAAATAACAGTAGTATGTGTTCACGGAGGTAAGTTTATTTTATTATTAAAGGGCGAACACACTCGAAGCAGTTGCACAAAGTCACGGGAGCATGAAAACTCACATGTTAACAAGCACACAGTCCCCCATTTTTTATTCCTGGTGTAGCTCCTGTTTTGGCTGTTTACAGTATTTTCAGTCTGCTCGCTCAGACCACTAATGTCCCTGTGACCACTTTGCGGCTCTGAGTGGTCGCTGTACGAACGTCCCGAGGAAAGGTTGAGCCAAATCCATCTCCTGCGTGTGTCAATTTTCCGCTCCTGCTCCTCCCCTTAGACTTTCCTGTGCGTGCATTCCGAGACGCTCATGTGTTTTGACGCTCGAACGCGCATCACCATTGACTTTGCATTGAAATCCGACGCAACGCATGATCTGGTCTGAACGCGGCATCAGTTGACCCAACGCCATTGTTGTTCATGTTTGTTCATTTCCACATTTAGGGGGGGGGGAGTGTTGAGGTTCACACACTGAGGGTCTTTTGTTTTTGTTTTTTTACCTTTTATTGTCTTCATAATGTACATTTCTTAGACTTTATTGATCCACAAGGGAAATTGCATTGTCACAGTAGCTTGCATAATATTCCATATAAAAATAACAAAGTAAGAATCTGAAAATAAGATACTATTGTGAGAATAGAATAATCTGGATATAAATTTCATGTAGAAAAAAAAACAAGGCACATATCTAAAACATTGCTGTGTTCAATTGTCCCAGTAATGTTTTCTTGTTTTCATTTAACAATATTTTTTCTTTAAAGGTAGCTTATAACCAGTGTAAAAAAAAGTTAGTCCTATTAGTTGTTCAGTAAATTCACATTCCGTTCCCAATTGTTTTTCAATCAAAATCTGTCCTATTGTCTGCCCTGATGAAGACCCAAGTGGTGCCTCGGACCTTCTTTTTTTCCCTTAAAAATCCGTCCTATGTTGCCGAACTTATTTTAACCATCCCTTTTCATTTCATTTCAGTCATTCTTCCACAATAGGTATTGAATCACTTCGCCATTTCCCAGTTATAGCTTTTTTACTGGCCAGCATTATTCTTTCAAGAATAAGAAACAAATTCAAAACTGGTCAGAAATTTAACTTCTAAGACTTTTAAATCTATAAAAAATTAATTATGAGAGCCTCCCTAAAAGATAAAGTGATCCGCTTTATTTCACCACAAGACCTCCAACATTCTCTCTGAGCAGGAGTAGCAAAAAACCTTAGTGTATTCTTCCATCCATAATTCCTCCATGATTTTGAATTCATGGTTTTCCACTGATATTTATTTATTTCCACCCATTCCTCTCCTGATATGACACTATATGCCTCCCTCTCCCATTTCTCTTTTACAAATATAGTGTCCTCAGCTTATTAGTCCTCCAGAATCTCATATAATTTAGAAATAACTGCTTCTGGATTGTGATCTGTATGCTTCCATTACAACTTTTATTATCTCTGGCCATGACTCTAATGCAGCAGTATTAATATCTAGTAGTGCCGTGACTGTAGATATCTGTGGAAATCATGGTTCTGGAGGCCATAGTCATTCGTTTTCTGAAAATATTTTTTTATTTGTATTTTTCAAAACCTCCCACAATTTGAATCTGGCATCCAATATGTCAGGTGTTAAGTCTATGTCGTAAGCAATCCACCCCAATACCTACTATATTTTGTCACATGATACTTCTTTATTATTCAAGTCCAAATTCTGACTGGTACCCCTAACTATGGAATTATTTTTAATTTCAGTTGGGTCCTTAATGTTTCATCGCATAATACAGATTGTAATGGCATCCCCTCAATTAATCTATGTTCAATGTCCTTCCACTTCGCAGAATACTCTAGGTCACATAAATGTATCAAGATCCTCCATTGTGCAGGCCGGAGATTATTTTATAGGCAAAGTAGCGTTAGCCCCACATCCCTCTTAGAATTTTAAGAGTGATAAATAGGACATTAGAATTACCTTTTTCAGACAACTCGATAGGTAGGTTTTGGAATCGCATATGTGGCAAAATGTTTATTTTAATCACGTCGACTCATATGGTATTCATTTCCATCTACCAATGGTCCATTTTTATCTTTGTTATGTTTTGGTCATAATTGGAGGATTTTTTGGTAAATTAACCCAAGTACTTAACATCATATTACATTTATCATTGTGTAATTTAATTATTAACTTTAAGATTTGGGTTTTTTGGACATTAACCTTGTACCCTGACACTTTTCCAAACTCCTCAGATGATGTCAATAGTACTGCCAGTGATGACTATTGTCTGCAAAAAAATCCTCTTCTGCCATTACAACTCATTTGATGCTTTTTTGTTTTATATACTGGTTTAGAGGTTCTATAAAGATGGCAAACAGAAAGGGGCTCACGGAGCACCCCTGACGACAGCCCCTCTCTAATTTGATAATGTCAGATAAACTTGCTAAAGGACGTGTACAGAGCCTGAACAATTCTAAAAGACCAATTTGACTTTTCTCTGCTTTAAACCTCATTACAGTGCTATTTGGCCTTAATACTTCATTCTGGTTTTTTTTTTGGTTTTTTTACAACTTTGGCTCACTCTGTAGAGGGCGCTGATGCTGTATAAAAGTGCTAGGATCATGTCAACTTGGAGATAATTTGTATTTGGTTGTAAACATTTGACTCACTATTTGTTCCGAAGATGAGGAATGCGACCAATGTCGGTGGACTTTTTTTTTTTTTAATCGCTGAATATTTGTCAACTATATAATAATGGTCTGTTAGCGTGCAAGTTGAAGGTTGGAGCCAACAGGACAACATCGTCCGCAAAAAGAAGATATGAAACCCTGTGGTCTCCAAACCGGACCCCCTCCGGCTGCACTGAGAAATTCTGTCCATAAAGACAGTGAACAGAACCCGTGACAAAGGGCAGCCCTGGTGGGGGACCAACATGCACCGGGAACAGGTCTGACTTACTGCCGGCAATACAAAAGCTGCTCTGGCTCCGGTCATAAAGGGACCGGACGGCCCTCAGCAAAGGACCCCCAAAGGACACCTAGGGAACACAGTTGGACGCCTTCTCCATATCCAAAAAGCACATGTGGAGAGGTTGGGTGAACTCTCATCATCCCTCAAGTATCCGATGGAGAGTATAGAGCTGGTTCAGTGCTCCACGGCAAGGACGACAACCACACTGTTCAACCTTAATCCAAGATTTGAGTCTCCTCTCCAGTACCGTGGAGTAGACCTTACCGGGGAGGCTTGGAGTGTGATCACACAATAATTGGAACACACCCTCCGGTCCCCCATCTTGTAGAGAGGGACCACCACCACCCTGGTCTGCCACTCCATTGACATCGTCACGCGATGCTGCAGAGACATGTCAGCCAAGACAGTCCTACAACATCCTGTAACTTAAGATAGTCAGGACGAATCTCATCCACTTGCCACCAAGGAGGCTGCCAACCACCTTCGTGACCTCAGCCAGGGAGATGGAAGTACCCGCCAAACATCCTCAGCCTCCGGGATAGAGGATGTGACTGGGGTATTGAGGAGAAACTTGAAATATAACCTTCCACTACCGAACAATATCCCTAGTCGAGGTCAGCAGCTCTCCCCCTGCACCGTAGACAATGTTGGCAAAGAACTGCTTCCCCCTCCTGAGGCACCGGACTGTTTTCCAGAATCTCTTACGGGCTGACCTCATGCTCCATGGTCTCTCCGTACTCCTCCCAGTCCCAGGTTTTTTCCTCTGCAACAGCCCGAGCAGCAGGACGCTTTGCCTGCTGATACTGGACAGCTGCCCAAGGATTCCCACAAACCACCATGGCTCGATTGGACTCCTTCAGCCTGATGGCCTCCCTTACTGACGGTTTCCACCACCGGGTTCGGGGGTTGCTGCCAGGACTAGCCCCAGAGACCCTGCAACCACAGCCACAAGCTGCTGCTGATCGGTTGATAGCCCGCCCGCCCCCCTCTCACCCGAGTGTCCAAGACACAACGCTGAAGGTCAAATGACACGACAACCAAGTCAATCATCGACCTCCGGCCTAGGGTGTCCTGGTGCCACGTGCACTGGTGGACACCCGTGTGCTCGAACATAGTGTAATGGACAAACCGTGGGTAGCACAGAAGTCCAACAACTGAATACTGCTCGGGTTCCGATCAGGGGGGCCATTCTTCCCAATCCAAGTGTCACTGCCGTTTCCCACATGGGCTTTGAAATCCCCCAGGAGAATAAGAGTCCCCGGTCGGTACACCGTCCAGTACCACTCCCATGGACTCCAAGGAGGCAGAGTACTATGCACTCCTGTTTGGCCCACGAGCTTGGGCTCTTCCCCCCCCCCCCCCCCCCCCCCCAGTGAGGTGGCGTTCAACGGCCAGTTGGTGTGTGTGCGGATACGGTTGCTGAGGCCCTCCGCCTTTGACTGCCACCCAGTCCTCTCTGCACCGAGGCCCCATGGATCCCCCTGTGGGTGGTCGGCCCACGTCATCCTTTTGGGCCCTGTGGGGTTGGGGGGACGTTACAGATTTAATCTTTGAGCGTTCCATGGTGGCTTTAGACTGCGATTCGTCTGACTTGTCATCCAAGACCTGTTTGCCATGGTAGACCCTACCAGGGGCATGAAGCCCCAGACAACAATGCTCCCAGGATCATCCGAGTACTCAAACTCCCCCACCATGTTAAACTGTAAAACCTACAAAATTCAATTTACATTGCGCCCTTGGGAGCTGGGCCGATGTTGAGTTTATTGTAGAACCACAATGTTTTCCTCCAATTTTGACTATTCCAAATCTGCCATTGTTTACACATACAAAGTCTGATTAATGCCAAATTTTTAATCGACGGTTCAACTTAGGTCCCCTAAGTTGAATGTGAAAGGTCAACTTCTGGGCCTAGGTCACCTGAATGTGAAAAAGCATTCAATTGAAGCATTAGCGCCACCTCAGAGTGAGGCAAAGTTTTACATAGGGGGTAAAACATATGTTTTCAAAATCTATTACATTTTGCTTCAAATTTTGGGCGGCAGTAGTTGGTAGAGCTTTGGCCTTTGAGCCAGAAGGTCGTGGGTTCAAGCCCCGCTCAAGACTTTCACCATCGACTCCCACTGTCTGCTGTCGTTGTGTCCTTGGCAAGACACTTAACCTCTGGGAACATCAGCCACAGTGGGGCGGCTGCGGCTGTAAAGTGCCAAACTGCCGTTGTGTCCTTAGGCAAGACACTTCACCCCCATTGCCTAGAATGAGTCTGGTGTGTGTATGAATGGTTGGTGGTGGTCGGAGGGGCCGATGGCGCATACTGGTTGCCTCGCTTCTGTCAGTGTGCCCCAGGGCAGCTGTGGCTACAGCAGTAGTTTATCACCACCGTGTTTGGAGTGAATGAATGACACATGTGAAGCGTCTTTGAGTGTCCAGAAAAGCGCTATATAAAACCGATGCATTATTATTATTATTATTAAATTTTGTTAGGGTAATTATCATAATCTCATTGTCACCTTATTACATATTATATTGAGATATGGGGCAACACTTATAAAAGTAATACTAAACCAATTTTCATACTGCAAAAAAGGCAGTAAGAGCAATTACATCATCAGCCTACAACGAGCCAACAAATGCACTGTTTATACATCTACAAATATTAAAATTCTATGATTTAGTCGACCTTTATAGTTTGATAGTAATGTTCAAGATTAAAAATGACCTGTCTGAACCCCTACAGAAACTGTTCACAATCAGAGACAGTCATTATGAACTGAGAGGAACAGACATGTTCAAAAAACAAACATGTAGAACTAATGTAATGAAAAGCTGTTTATCTGTTAGAGGGGTTGATCTCTGGAAGGGATGCACAAACAAACTTAAAACCTGCAATTCACTGTACCACTTTAGAAGGATGTTTAAAACTATCATTTTGGATGGCTACCTGAACTCAGATTTTTGATGTTGATATAGTTGCTAATTTAAATTCTATTGTTTACATTCACTTATACTAATGACACCTGTAAAAATGGTAGGCAATATAAGCATTAGCTTCAGCCTACTCCTTTTCGGTCTTTGTTTCTGCTGTAATTTACTATCCTGAAGATGTGTAAAATGCACAAGTGACCGAAGAAAAAAAACAAAACTGAAACTATTCAGACATCTGTGTAACTGGAATCAAACCAATGGTTAAAATTACTCAATGTTTATTTGTTCTATGGTTTATATCTATTATTAATATGATTGCCTGTTCTATGGTTTCATGTTTCTGCCAATTTCCCTGAACACACTGTTCAGTCTCATGTGTAAACAGAGGTTTTGTGAATGAGGAAAAAGCAGGAATTCTACATTGCGCAAATGACGCGTCCGGTGCGCGCCGCGAGTACTGCGCGGCAGAACGCGGTAGACGCGGCAGCGGCAGGAAGTGTTGTTGATGACGACGGGGAAGAGACCCGAAAACCCTAAAACCACAAAACCCGAAGACACCAAGACCCCGAGGACAACATGAAATAACTGCGAACATAAACCACAGTGACATTCAATCGGTAAGTGGCCGGGACCCGTGCATCTGCAGACGGCCATAGCAAAGGGGGCTCGCCGTGTGGAGCATCTTTGTGTGAAGGAGTGCGGGGTCTGGTTATACTGGCTTCTGACTGCCGAGGCCCTGCCACTATACGGGGGGAGCTGTGCATGAGCCCCAGGACCTGTAGCTACACACACGCCACACAGCGGTCATGCACACATCATGAGCGGCACATAGAGACGCTCAGAGCCCGCAGCAGCGCTTTGTCCCCGCGCTCCTCTGCCCTGGTGCTAACGGCTACATGCTAATGCTGTGATCGGGTTTTAAAGCTTTATTTACACTCCCACGCCTCAAATACTGCACACATAAAGGGGGATATTGTGAATAGAGGCGTTTAAATCCATGAACCCGTATGATTTTACACCGCGTTTAGGGCCTGTGTGTGCGGGGAACGGGCAAAGACACGGCTGTAGCATGTTAGCTGCGAGCATGCTAACTGTTAGCACGTTAGCTTAACTGTAGGGGGGGAATGGCTCTGACGCACAGCCCCCAGAGAGACGAGTGGTCCAGTCCAGTCCCCAGCACTGCGCTCACACCCCGGGCCCCTTCATCACCCCGTTCACCCACCGTTCTGTAGCCGCAGAAGGGAACTGCTTTCTCGGGTGCTGTCACCGATAGGTCCCGCTCAAACCCAACTTTAGTGTTTATGTTTTTTCTCAGTTTTTTACATCACACTTCTCCGTTACTTACGTGAATCTAATAATGTATTTTAGATAAAGACTGCGAAATAGAGCATGAGCACCGTGATATGGACTTTACTCAATTATTTAAAAACAATAATAATATAATAATCATAATAACACGTTTTAGTTGTAAAGCACTTTTCAAAAATAATGTTTACAAGTGCTGCCCAATCAGCATAAAACAACACAAGTCAAAAACAGTCATTTATATAAAATACCAAACCAAACAACTACAGGACAACAAAGCAGGCGGTGTAGACAGAACCTGGGGAAAAGCCTAGGGCAGGGATGTCAAAGTCAAATGAATGAGGGCCAAAAAACCAATTTGTTACAAGCCAAGGCCCGGGCTGGTTTAATGTTTATTATAACATTTTAAAATGATTGCATATAATCTATTGAACCAAGACCTAACACAGAGTACCATTTTTTTAATTTAATTATTAATGAATATTCCAATATTTTTGTATGGCTCTGTCAGTGATTTCAAGTGAAAAAAAATTCAACAGACTTGCAAACAAAACAAAGTTCTTTCAAAGAGAAAATGCATGTCCTGAACATTAAATTAATAATCCAATACTTCCTTATGCCTCTATGCAGGTTGGTTCTAATACTAATCAATTATCCCGGGGGCCAAGATAATTCATTTGGCCGGATCTGGCTAGCGGACCTTGACTTTGACACCCATGACCTAGGGGTTTGAGGCTGCAAGGGGGGACCTGCCTGAGGACCATATGCACAGGGAGCCAGTGCTAGAGCAGGAGGTGATTTGCTCCCTTCAGTTAAAACCAGTGAGAAATTGGTCTGTGGGATTCTACCATATGATTTACAGTAACGTTAAAAGCAGCTGAATATTGGCTTGACTGTAACTACCATTCATTCAAATCTAGGGAGATGAGTTAAACTTAATTATATTATTTTAGGCTGAAGGAGTCCTATTAAGCCATAATTTTTATTGTGTTTTCTTACCGTGGTGTGGAGGCAGGAATTGGCGCCATGCCTTCATATTGTATTATCCTAGCTCTGCAGGTTTACTTGTTGATAAACTAGCTCAGCTCTGCTCTGGCTGTGTTTGCTCCTGGGTAGTGTCTTGGTCGTGGCTCCTCTGGTCATTGTGAGTTCAGCCTAAATTCATTTACTCTTGTCTCCACTCTACTTATTAAAGCTCTACACAGGTGCTTCATACATTTCTTCATGCGTCATTCTCTTTACACCGCATGTGTAATACTGTACAACTCGCTGTGCAGCATGCGGGAACGCGGAGGGACATTTCTGTTTACATTTTTACGCTATCGTGTTAAGTGACCAAGATTTAAGGAGAGAATACGATCATTATTTATTCTTTCCTTGACAGTCCAATCTAAATGTCCCACGGCTCATGGACCACCCGCTGACCAGGGTTTTTCCGGGGCCACTGATTTATGAAACTACAGTTACAGACCCCAGCTTTAAAAATTCTGTAGCTAGCTTAGGTCCTGTATCATCATCATATTTTGTGTGTGCTTTATATTTTTCATGTGTTCTAACTGTTGATTCTCTGATCTGTGTTGGTTTTGTTAAGTCTCTGAGATGACTTCTGTTGTGACTTGGGCTATACAAGAATAAGTTGTATTGTATTGTAAACATGTGTTATTTATGAGGCTAAAGTTACGTCCTCCAGCTTTAAACCTGTGCATTGTGTTGCAGGTCGGCGGGCTCATGGCCCCCGGTATGTGAGTGTCCCCCTTGCTCGGGGGAAATGGCAGAGCTGAGGACCGAGGCCCCGCCCACGACCAGTCGCCCACACCACCGCCCGCCTGGCTCAGCCCACAGAAAGTCTCACGAGGTTGGCCCTTTCCAGTGTCCCGTTTGCACACGCGCGCTGCCCAATGCGCTTGTGCTGAAAAACCACTTACGTATCCATACTTTGTCTCCGAGTAGTGTCGCTGCTGAGGAGGACTCGGGCGAGGAGCTGACCTCTGACCCCCAACATCCCCGAGATCATCACAGGAAGTACAAAACGACTGGAGCCATGGTGAGCGGCGCCGGCGCTGCGCCCCAGGCGGACGACTGCTTCTGTCACCTGTGTCAGATCTCACTGCCGTCCAAAGCCGATCACCAGGAGCACCTGCTGCTGCACAGCTCGGGAGCGCCCCCTGTGGGTCTCCAGCGCTTCCCAACGCTGCAGCCACACAACCTGAGCGCCCCACGGCCGCCTTATGAGCCGCTGCAGCCGCCCTCAGACAAGCGGCCCTATGACCCCATCATGGGTCCCGCGAACGGCCCAATGTACATGTATGATCCGCGACCTTCCCACTCTGAGCCTGAGGCTGGCCCGCAGGGCGACGCTGAACGCAGGTTTAAGTGCGGTGAGTGTGGAAAGAGTTACCGTCACGCGGGCAGCCTGGTGAACCACCGCCGCTGTCACCAGACCGGCCAGTACCACTGCAGCGTCTGCGGGAAGCAGTACCCTCACCTGGCCGCGCTGCACAGTCATCTGCGCAGCCACAAGGGCCGCACCTCAGCACAAGGCAGCACTGACTGGACCGACTACTCTCAGGGGGGTGGGGCAGAGGGCGGGGCTCACTTCAGCCAGGACGCCGCCCACAGCAGTTTAGACTCTCTGGAATTTCATGAGCACTTCGACGCACCGCTGGCTCAGGGGTCACAGGGCGGCCGACAGGCATGCGCAGACTGTGGCCAGATGTTTGACCTGAACGCTCTGAAGAGCCACATGTGCTCAGGCCAGCAGGGGGCGCAGGGGAACGGCTTCAGCATGAGCTTCAGCAGCACACTGCCCGCTGCTGACCACAAACACACAGTGAAGAGACTTGGGGACAAAGAGGACGAGGACGAGGGAGAGATCTATCAGTGCTCTGTGTGCGGGAACCACTACGCCAGCCTGCGCGCGCTACGCAGCCATCTCCGCAGCCACGCCAACAACCCCAGCTTTTCCCAGCTACCTGAGCAAGGGCCCAGCCAGGCGCCGCAAGGATCTGGCCAGAGCTGGAGGCTCCTGTGCTCTACCTGCGGCCAGAGCTTCAGTCGCAAACAGGACCTCCTGAACCATCAGCTGATCCACGGGCCGCAGAGGGCGGAGCCTAAAGGCCAGAGAGTCGCCTGTGCAGACTGCGGCCTGCTTTACGACCGTCACCTCTCACACATGTGCCATGGAAAGAGCCGGCTGAATGGAAAGAACGCTCAAGCTGAGGCGCGCAGACCCCTGGTGGAACACAGCGACAAACCCCACAAGTGCGACCAGTGCGGGCGGGGCTACAGGCACCCGTGCTCCCTCCTCAACCACAAGAAGTCCCACAAGACCGGAGTGTTCCGCTGCCTCGTCTGCCAGAAGAAGTACTACAACCTGCTCGCTCTGAAGAACCACCAGAGAACTCACTTCGACCTAAAGAGGTGAGAAATATTGAGGGGACTATAGAGGGGACTATGGAGGGGACTATGGAGGGGGACTATGGAGGGGGACTATGGAGGGGACTATGGAGGGGGACTATGGAGGGGGACTATGGAGGGGGACTATGGAGGGGGACTATGGAGGGGGACTATGGAGGGGGACTATGGAGGGGGACTATGGAGGGGACTATGGAGACCAGAGTTCTAAACAGACTGCTAACAATTTTGAGAATCGAGACTTCAGATCAGATCCTCTGACCATGGTTTTTTTCTATCAATGGTCTCTGATGGTCTCTAACTGTCCAATGGTCCTGGTCTCTGATGGTTCTGTCTCTCCCTGGTCTCTTCCTGGTCTCTTCCTGGTCTCTTCCTGGTCTCTTCCTGGTCTCTTCCTGGTCTCTTCCTGGTCTCTTCCTGGTCTCCTGCTGGTCTCCTGCTGGTCTCTTGCTGGTCTCTGATGGTTCTGTCTTTGATGGTTGTCTCAGAATCCATTTTTTTTTTTGCTATTATAAGTAACAGGAAGTCACAAACTAGGAAATTGCTTTGGCAAGTGGTAAAAGTAAAAATAAAAATGCATGCATAAAAATAAAATAAAAAAATCATGACATTTTCTCCTTGGTCTCTGATGGTGTTTGATGGTCTCTTCACTCCCTATGGTCTCTGATGGTTCTGTCCCTGATGGTATCTCCTGCAGGCACAAGTGCGAGGAGTGTGGAAAGGCCTTTAAGATCCAGAAGCAGCTGCTGAACCACCTGCGTCTGCACGAGGAGCACCGCGTCAAAGGCCTAGTGCGCTCAGGCCCCAGCGGGGCGCGCCTGTCCCCGGCCGGCCCATCACAGCTGCACACGCTCAGAGCAGAGAGCGCCAAAGCCGCGTCTCTGCTTGGGTTCAAGAAGCCCTACTCTTCGGCCGGAACTTCTCGACCGCAGAAATTTGACGCGGTGGAGACCAGCCGCCGGCCGTTTTCCTGTGAGGAGTGCGGTAAGACCTACCGCCACGCAGGCAGCCTGGCCAACCACAAGAACCTGCACAAAGTCGGAGACTACCACTGTAACGTCTGCAACTCCACCTACCCCAACCGCCTGGCCATGAAGAACCATCTGAGGCTCCACTTTGCCCACAAGAAACACAACTGCCCCGACTGCGGCAAAGGCTTCCGTACGCAGCGCCAGCTCGCCACTCACTCCACAGGTGGCTTGTGTAAGGGCCCCCAGGGACCTGGCCAGCAGATGGACTACGAGTGTGACGGCTGCTGCGAAGGTTTTGCTACCGCAGATGACCTGTCTGCTCACGACTGTCCCGCCGCTCACCTGCCCGTGTCCTCAAGCTCCACGCCCTCTCACCCCCGAGAGGAGCGTGTGTCTGTGGACACGGACTCAGACGAGCGCCCGTATGTGTGCGACCTGTGTAACTGTGCGTACAAACACGCCAGCTCCTTACTGAACCACAAACACACGCACAAGACCGGGAACTTCCGCTGCAGCTTCTGCGACAAACCTTACACCAACTACATGGCGCTGCGCAACCACATGCGCATCCACACACAGCGCAAGAAGCACGTGTGCCACGTGTGCGGCAAAGCATTCCGGCTCGCTCGCTTCCTCCGCAATCACCACCGCGTCCACGACGAGGGCGCCACACCCTTTGGCTGCCCCAGTTGCGGCAAGAGCTTCCAGGGCCGCTCCGCGCTGGCCAGGCATCGCTGCGGGGACTCGCTGGATTCCACACTGCTCCGCAGACCTGCCCCAGACAGGAAGGAGGCAGAGGAGTGCCGCTACACGTGAGTGCGCAATAATGTCCCTGTCACATTCCTCACATAAACAGAGCTCTGTCATTACAGGTATATGCTCTCCAATCCCAGCGCGCCCACGTACGCCTGCCGGAATTCGGACTTTTCTGAAGTTTGGACTAATTGAATTAGAGATAAGTTTCCCTTTGTTTAGACGCCCTGTGTTGTGTGCAGACCTGTGTGTGATGCCCTAAACCCGCCCCTGTCCCCGCCCTCTCCCCTGCTGCTGGATTATAGATCATATACCTGTATGGCCATGTTACACACAGGAGAGGGGGGGTTGAGTGATACAATAGCCACGTTTCCACCGCAGGAGTCCCTCCTCCATGCTAGCAGTGACGTGCATCATAGCTCTCTGCCTCCCCTGCCATCAATGGAAACAAATAATTATTTTAGTTGTAATACATAATTGTTTTCCACTGTCCTATGCTTTTAATGTATATTTGGCACTGTTCCGACCAGTTTTGATCATTTTAGGAGTCAAAAACGCTGAAATCCTATTTTTCCTATTCAAAGAGACGAGGGGAGGCAGCGCTCCTGCCTCACCCCAGATCGCTCCCTCACAGTGGACTGTGCGAGTGCTCTCAACTCGTGCTGTTGATATATCGCTGTTTGTTTCTAATATCCTGCTTTGAAAACATTTGTATAACTTCTCATGTTGTTTAGTAATGTATTGCACGTATGTGTGTACTATTTTTATTTAGTTTAAGTCTTTTGATTGGAGAAGAATACACCAGGAAAAAGCTTGGCGTGAGGCAGGCAGTATCTGTGCCTCACCACTAGGGGTGATAGTGAGCATGAAGTTCAGACCTGAGTTGCTAACAAACAATCAGCACAATATGCTATTTCTTTTGCTTGAAAATGGATGATTTGATTGAAGATTTTTTTCTCAACTGGACCTTCGATCAAAGCAAGAAATAATATAGACTAAAAACCACCGCTCGACCTACGAGGTTAGTCCGGCCGCGGGGGAGGAGTTTGTCAATCTGTGTTTTATGTGAAAAAATGACCAGAGAGTTGCATAATAGTGCTTCTCCGAAAAATACTGATTCAAACACTGCTCAAGAGTTCTGCAACTCTTTCTCTCTCTCCTCCCGTCTCTTTCTCTCTCTCTCGCGTCTCTCGCACCTGTGCTTCTTAAAGATGTTTGATGCGGAGCAGAGAGTCAGTTGTTGTGAGATTATTAAAAGAAGCTGGTTCTCTTATCTTTACAGTATAGGAAGTTATTGCATTGGCAATTAAATTCTATTGTATTAGAATAATTATGGTAAATCTGACTTTTAAAGTCAGTGCCTCCCCAATCACATTCCTCACTGCATGTCACTGCATGCTAGGTACTCCGTTCGGCCCTGGTGGGACTTGAGGTTAACCCGGCGCTGATTGGCTAAAGCTAGCGCAGGCTCAGACACCAGCAGAAACAGCAAAACAACCGGCATTAGCCCAGCAACATAAGCCCAGCAGACACCACTGGAAACAGCGAAAGACAGCACATTGATTCAGACGGGGTTTGAGGCATCGTGGCGAAATGAAAATATATATTTAGACATATCAGCTTCACCTCGAAGCGCTGGGGATTCATCACACTCCAAAACAAGCCGTGAAAAGTTTATAAAAACTGAAGCAGGACTAAAAAATGACTCAAAGACCTCAACAACCGGGGCGGTCATGAACGTAAAATAAACAAATGGGTTTGGCGCATGGATCTATAATAATAACGGGTTTGGCATAATGAGTTCCGCTTATGCGGTAATCAAAACTCATATGACGTCGCCGAGTGGTCCTACTGCAGTGGAGACACGGACACTGAGAGGACCGAGGGAGAGGATGGTTCCTGTAAAAGCCCCCGCTCCTTTTACCAGGAACTCCTGCGGTGTAAACACGGCTAATATATTTCATATGGATTTGAAAATGCTCTTTTAGTGACATCACTTTAATACTTGCCATTATCAAATGTAATCTGAAGTAGTTTAAGCAATATTTGGCATTCTGCAGTTTACAAATACAGGTTTGATGTTAACGCCTCCACTCCCTGTGCACAGGTGTGAGCAGTGCGGCCGCTCGTACCGCCACCCCTCGTCGCTCCTGAACCATCGCCTGAGTCACCGTGTGGGCGTGTTCCCCTGCGTATCGTGTTCAAAGACCTTCAACAACGCCCTGGCCCTGAGGACGCACCAGCGCCTGCACTGCGGCCCGCGGCCTCACCGCTGCACCGACTGCAACAAGGCCTTCAGGGCTCGTTCACAACTGCTCAACCACCGCCACCGCGTCCACCAGAGCGCATTCAGCCCAGTGACCGCACTGCTGCAGGAAAGGGGCGGGGCCTCAGGGGGCAGGGCGTCAGGGGGCGGGGCCTCAGGACACCGGCTGTATTCCTGTGATCAGTGCGGCCGCTCCTATCGACACTCCAGTTCCCTACTGAACCACAGACGCAGCCACATGACAGGCGCCTTCCCCTGCGCCTCGTGCCACAAACACTTCTCTAACCTGATGTCTCTGAAGAACCACGCGCGCACACACACAGAGCCGCGACGTCACAGCTGCCCCGACTGCGGCAAAGCCTTCAGAGTGTCCACACAGCTGCTTGCGCACCGCCGCGTGCACACACACGAGAAGCCGTTTATCTGCAGCGTGTGCGACAAACGTTTCTCCTGTAAGAGTAACCTCAGGCACCACAGCCGCCTGCACTGGGGCCCTGCAGCGCCCCCTGTAGACACGGGCCAGTACCTGAGCAGCGGCCATGTACACTTTCTCTGAGCGTAAGTCTGAGAGTGAGAGGCCTTAAATAAGTACAGAAGTCCTTAAATAAGTGCAGGAGTAACGGGCTAGAACTACCACAAACAGGACTGTGAGGCTGATGTTTTAGAAATAAACTGTAAAAGAATCACACTGAGAAATGGACATAACTCTGCACGCCCTGCGCTCCCTGGACTGAACACGAGGTGGCGCTCCCTGGACTGAACACAAAGTGACGCTCTCTGGACTGAACACAAGGTGGCGCTCTCTGGACTAAACACACGGTGGTGCTCTTCCTCTTTTAACTCTGTTTGCCTTCATCACAAAACTTTATTTAAAACAAATGTCTGAGAACTGTAAAGATTCAATGTGTCCTGGACAGGTGCTTTTTGGGAGGGGCCCCAGGGGATTGTGGGAAATGTAGTCCTGTAGAATGAAAGTCTTCCTCAAATGTCCTTGTGTAAAGCAGATGTTTCTGTGCGGAACTAAGTGAACCATCATTAATCCCCCTCACCTTGACCTTCACCCTCTCCACATTCTCTGGTGTCTGGTCAAATACACACATATCCATCTTTTGACATTGTCATCTGCACGTAACCAGAGACATGAACTCTGTAAACCAGGGTTTAGGAAAACTCCGCCCAAAGTGAAGATTTGTGTTCTTTTTATCCACTCTCATTGTCTACTCCCCTTCACCTCCTCTCTCCTGGTCTTCCCCCTTTCATCTCCTCTATCATCCTCCTTTCCTCTCTGTGAGCTCAAAGTGGTAGTGCCCCCTTGTGTGTGCAGAGGGTCAGTGCAGTGCTGTAGAATTGGTAGGAGACTCATTCTAATAATATCTATTAATATCTGTAACGTGTGTGTGACTGTCCACTATATACTTTTATAAATATGTTTTTGATAATTCATTTATAACTAAACTGTCAAACTATAACCTGGTACTGCAAATAAACTACAAACATGGGTCTGGTCCAGCCTGGTCCACATAAGTCTGGCCACATGAGTCTAGTCCACAACCCTGCTGAACTTAAGAGAAGATGACTCACACATTCCTGCTTCAGTGTGTTTATGTGAATAGTAGAGATACACAAGGCAGGAAATACTATAGACTGTATATATGGCGAGGAAGGACGAGAGAGGTGTGAGTGTTGTGGACTTTGCAGTGATAAAAATAAAAGGAGGACTCAGGAGAGCGGAGGTATGTGTTATCGTGAATAAACCGGAGAGAAAGCGGAAGTGTGTGCGTCGTAGTGTATAAACTGAGCTTGGTCCACTAACCTGTCGATCTTCAGAGCAGTGTGTTTATGTGAACAGTAGAGATAAACAAGAGCAGGAAATACTGTAGACTATATATAGATGGTGAGGAGGGAAGAAGTGTTAGTGTTTTGAGAATAGAGGTTTGTGTTAAAAAAAAAAAAATACTGCAGTGAATAAACCGTAGATGCAGGAGAGAGAAAGAGGTGTGTGTTGTAGTAAATTAATAGTTTAATGAGTCTTGTCCACATCCCTGTTGATCTTCAGATGACGCACACATTCTTCCTTCAGTGTGATTATGTGAACAGCAGAGGAAGAGAAGGAAATGCCACAGACTGTATATAGATGGACATGGAGAGGAAATAAGTATGCATCAGTTTTATATAGCGCTTTTTTTGACACTCAGACACTTCACATGCCATTATTCATTCTCTCCAAACACGGTGCTGATAATACTACTGTAGCCACAGCTGCCCTGGGGCACACTGACAGTGTATGCACCAGTATGTGCCATCGGCCCCTCCGACTACACACACCAGACTCATTCTAGGCTAAGTGTCTTGCCTAAGGACACAACAGCAGAGGAGGAGGCGAGTGTTGTTGTGGACTCAGGAGAAGAGACGTTTGTGTTGTAAACAATGCAGTGAATAAACAGAGGACTCAGAGAAGGAGAGAGGAGGTGTATGTTGTGGGTGGTGCAGTGAATAAACAGAGGACTCAGAGAAGGAGAGAGGAGGTGTTGTGGGTGGTGCAGTGAATAAACAGAGGACTCAGAGAAGGAGAGAGGAGGTGTATGTTGTAGGTGGTGCAGTGAATAAACAGGAGGACTTAGAGAAGGAGAGAGGAGGTGTGTGTTGTGGGTGGTGCAGTGAATAAACAGAGGACTCAGAGAAGGAGAGAGGAGGTGTTGTGGGTGGTGCAGTGAATAAACAGAGGACTCAGAGAAGGAGAGAGGAGGTGTTGTGGGTGGTGCAGTGAATAAACAGAGGACTCAGAGGAGGTGACACTGAACGATGGTCTTTATTCTTGTTTTCGTCTGTCAGGGTTTGGTTCTCTGGTCTTTTTTTTTGTTCTTTTTTATATTTTTATTTAAATTAAAATGTCTGACACACTTATAAAAGACAGCATCTGCATAGAGTTGTCATCTTAAAGATCCATGGAGAAAGGGGGCGGGGTCAGGGGCGGAGTCATAGGTCGACGCCGCCAAAACCACCATGGACACCGTGAGCCCGCCTCCTGTCGTCACATCTACTTATTATTTATACATTTGTTTCCCGCCGCAGCTGCTTACACTTTCATTTTTGAGCCAAAACGTCGACAAATTTGTGAAGTTTGTCTTAAAATTATGAATTGTCATTGTCGGCGTTTGACCCAGAGATAAAAGCACCGGCAGCCAGCTGTGTCCAACATCAAAAGTTTTCTCTCTCATGAAGGGGGCGGGGTGTCGTGTTGCAGTGGGTGTGACTTGTCTCATGGTGGGCGTGGCTTTGGCGGCGCCGAGGGAATACTGGCACGTCACAGTAACTAAACGACAGCAGTTACGAGTCGGGTCTTTACATTACGCTACGCACACATACACACACACAAAAGAAACAGGACACGAGTTGCATCTGCCGCGCGCAGTTTGCCACAAGCTCCGCCTCCGGGACACCTCTGCAGCCAATCACAGCGCACCAGACATCGCAACGCCATCGAAACCAGCTTTATCCAATAATAATGAGTGAAGTTCAATGGGACGAGGTCAGGGTTGAGTCCGACGCAACTTTGCTTTTCATCAGTCAATATTTAGACATTTATTATTATTATTATTCCTCATTGTCGAACTATAGTAAAGAATTTAACATGATAATATTTAAACAATTTGACCGTGTCCTGTAGAGAAATGCTGCTCGCGGACGCCATTTTGCGAGCATAAAGTGGAAAAACGTGACTTTGGCAAAACATTTATGACAAAAATATAAAAAATACAAATCGCGTCAATGATGAGAGTTTGAAGAAATTTCATCACAAAAAAACCAACAACTGGATCCAAAATGGCGTCCGACTGCAGCTTGTGTCGCATCACTGTTTATTGTCGCCACGGTTACGCAGTTTCCTGCCTCTGCGCCCGTTTAAAAGCCCTTGTGTCTCGGGATATTGCACGCTGCGTTTCTATTGGCCTGTGAGGCGAGAGGGGCGGGGTTGCGATTACACCGTGGCAAAATGAACAAATAAACCAAAATGCGACAAAAAATTTTCTCATTCGGATGACGGTCTGGTGCGGGCAGTGCGTGTTGGCGCGTGTTGGCGGCGCTCTGGAAAACGATTGAAAAGACTGAATTACAAACATGGAGCAGATTTGACAAAGGAAAGATTTGTTAAGTAACAACATCAATTTAAGGAGATCATTTTGATCCGAACACTCGCCACATCTGCTGCACGAGTCGTAATCCAAGCCGCGTTCATCGCCTGCGGAGGAACGAGCCGTAGAAACGCGGAGCCGAAATATTTGAGTTTTTACAAAATGGAGGGAAGCACTTTTCAACAGAGGGGCCATGGGCGGGGCCTCTGTGACAGGGGCAAGGGGGAGACCAATCAGAGCGCAGGATTCACCGTGACATCAGCAGACAGGAAGTGTTTATTTAAATTCGTTATCGTTCAGTTCTTTATGAAACAAGATTTACTTGTTTCAAGATGTTTCTGACAATAGATAGATTTAAGATAACATTTGCATTTATCTTAGATAAAACCCCAGATAAAACTGGTCTTTGTAAAAATGTATTTTTGTTAATTCACGTCAGAAACATCTTCAAAGCAGTAAATGTTCCCGGCCACATAAACACATGTTTATACGCACATCCGGAACTATCTCCTGAAGTCAAGTTATTTGAAGTTGGAGGTTCCAGGTTCTCAGCCTAAAGTTGCGTCACAATATGTTCAGAGTGAAACAACAAAAACAAAATGTTCAATGTTGAAAAATGAATACATAAATAAAATATTCAGTATGTACAGAGCATTCAGGTGAACGAGCCGGTGAACCCTGCGCTGCGATCGGCACATAGATCTCGGTCTTTTGGCGTTTTGTCCCGGAGGCGTGGCCAACTGCGGCGGCCATCTTGGATTTCTACATAGACATGCAGTGGTTTTTTAATCTTTAAGATATTTACAATAATTACAGCACACAAAGATCCAGGGTCATTGGACAAAACTGCGAGCATTCCATATTCAGTTTGACGACTAGTATAAGGAACAGAAAGGTCTGGGGCCACCTCCTCAGCACATATTTATAACTCTTCATCACTGCACTGCATTAACCGAAGACAAGGAGTCTGAGCATCAGCTGAACATAGAGAAGAGCCATCTGGGGAGCCATCTGCCAAAGGAACGCCTTCCATCACAATGACCTGCGTACGCTTTGTTCCTTAAACATGATTTTGAGAATATTTCCTTTGGCATTTCATGTTTAAGATTCTGAAGAAGAAAATATATGGATATATGTGCGAACAGTTATCCCTGGTACTACAGGTACATTGGTCCCTGGTTCATCACAGGGGTATGTGTTCTAAAAATAAGCCACAATAAGTAAAATCCTTGAAGTAGCAGCTGTATGTTTTAAGGCTGTAAAACCCCTCACAAACACTTTTCTAACCACCTAAACTCACGATTGCTGAAGTGTGATCGTGAAGATATCCAACCTGTTGTTGGTCTGAGCGCTGCTGCAGCTGTCAAAAGCCGTGCATACGCTGTAAAATACAGCTGAGGGGCAGGAGAAGGACTTAGGGCTACGGGAAGACCAGAGAGAGAGAGAGAGAGACCAAAGAGAGAGACCAAAGAGAGAGACTCCTCTGAACTAATCAGCGCAGTAGCTGTCATGTTACAATAGCTGTTATATGATGTTAGCGTAACAAGCAGCGCATGAGAAGCAGTTGTAAAAAAACTATTGCACAAGAACATCTGTGAAACAGCGAATGATGAACCATGATAGATCATTGTACTGGAAAATATGCACGACTGTGGAGGAGGAGGGTTGTTTTAACATGGTGCAAATTAAGGCGTGCCGTCTTAATGATCTCATTCCAAGTTTAACTCAACATGTGTTTGAAGTCTGGTTCCATTGGCAGATCCTGTGTGGACTCCATCAGCTCAAACTCCTTCTCGGCATCTTGTTTGTGCAGTGCAGCTTCAAACACTGATCAGGACAATACTGTGGGTCCTCGCGGGCTCCACAGGCGCCGCTGGAGGCTCAGGAAGACCAACACCTTCGGAGGAATCGCACCAGATTCTACACAAACTCAAAACTTCCTCCTCCGTTTTGGTCCGAACTGTCTGCTGATGATTCTCCTGACTTTGTGCCACTTTAACACAACAATATTCATAAATATTTCATCTTTTAGCAGATTTTTAAACCTCTAAATGTGTGAGTATGTGCTTCACGACGAAACAGGCAGAATCTGACGGTTGCGGATCCTCAAAAGTAGGATTTCTTTCGAGCCATGAGCAAACGTCTAATTGTGTTTGGACGTCCTGCCAGTGGAAGCCAATTTTTGAACATGGGAATAATCAAAAGCTAAAATAATAATACATTTGAGCAGCTCTGTTGTGTCTGAATCTGCCTGAATCGCCGTGAGTGAGTTTGTATGAGGAAATGAAAGTGAAGGCGTAAATGTGGGTCTGGCCGCGTTTGTGCTTTCCGACGCGAGACGAAATGCATTGGCTTTGGGCAAAGATAACCGCAAATGATGATGATGATTTCAGACGAGTTATAGGGGAAAGTGTTGGGATCGTTGGGGTAAAAGGAAGGGAGGCATGCGACAGACACCAGTCCATTCAGCCACAGGTTTGGTAAAAAATCAGGAAATAATTGTTAAAATCAACTCCTTAAATCTCCATTGGTCCTTTTCCCCTGAAGGCGTCAAGAAGGGAGCGGCCCCAGAGCGCGGCTGGAAATCATAACTGTACGATATGTCTGGAGCCTGAACTAAAGTATGGTACAATGTTGACGCAGGACAGGCCCCTGCGTCCACTCGTTTGGGTTCAGGTGTGTGATGCATAGACACAAAATCTTCTTATAAATAACTCTCAAAGTACGAACGTAGATATTCTAATATTTAAAATCCACGGAGGGCAAATCTGCGGCGATATGTCTGAAAACCTGCTCAGAGTTTGGACACTGCCTTTGACTTAAACTGAAACGATAGTTTTATATCCGGAGAGTCATGTTTGAACCGGGAGAGCGTCGCCATGGTGACTGTGGCAGCCATTTTGTGTCCATCTCAGGTGTAAAACAGATGACAGACTGTGTACCGCAATCACCAAACTAAAAGCCGCTAATCTGTCCAAGTTCTTTGACCCCTGCGACCAATCTATGTATGTTTATCACGGTACAGAATTCTGCAGGATAGACTTTGGACACTGCTCCATCAGCTGTGGTTCATATGAACAGCAGAGAGACACCGGTTAGCTATAGGGTGTGCGTTTATTGTTAAAATAGATAGGTAAATAAATGGAGACTAACAGTTAAGGTAAGCATGCTAACATGAGCTAATGTTAGCCTCAGAGCTCATTGTGTTAATTATCATCATGAAATGATGTGTCCAGTTAAAACAGACGTCTCTCTGCTTTGTTCTGCTCCATCGGCTGTTGGCTCAGTGTGACATCATAAAATGGATACCTGCGCCTTATATTTAGGTCCTATATATGGACAACTTTTTATTCTGATATGTAGCTGGCTCATAGACAGGTGTGGCTAAGAGTCCAGCGAGTCCTGTGTGTCCTGTATCACAGCCACACACTCACGACAGGAGACAACTCTGAGCTTGGATGAACAGTGGCGGAACATGGCGGCTGCCTGTTACCATGGCGACTCTGTCCAGCCCTTTACACGTCAGCTCTGGGTGAAAGTGTTGAGGCTCAGAGGGTAAAGTGCACAAACTGGGACAAAAACAGCTTCATGCAAACGACGCGTCACATCTTCACATGCCTCTTTTATTTTATTATTATTACGATCGGGTCCACGCGCGGAGGGAAGGGGGCTGGTGCTATGGAGACCTCATACAAGACCTCGAGACGATCTCACTGTAGACCTGCTGAAGACGTCATGAAGACCTCACTCAAGACCCTTATTAAGGCCTCAAAGAGACCTCACAAAGACCTTAAGAGGACCTGACAACGCCCAATGAACCAACGCCGGAAACTAACGACGAATCACCCAGAGACTAACACCACAGAAAACCAGTTAAACTATGGGACCAACTGTAAATCGCTGTCGGCCAATGCTTACCGGGCGTTACTTATTCCGGCCGGTCTGATATCGGCGTGATTGTTCTAATGTACGCAGTTTGGGGAGGCAGTCACATCTGTAGAACAAGCAGCTCTTCTGAGAACAGTGCAGTAATAATCGAGCCTCCGTTTTGAATCCACACTTTTGTGTTTTTATTGCGTTAAATTATTGCGTTATATATTTGTCAGGCGGTGATGCTGCACTCCCCACACTCGCACAAACTCAACGTGAACGTTCCAAACCAGCGTCCGTCACTGGACAGAGGCTGAAGACAGAGGCTGAGGACACAGGCTGAGGACAGAGACCTGGAGCTGACTGGGCTCGTGATCCAGAGAAGCCCACTGTGTTTGTGGGTTTGCCTCAAATCTCAAATTAAGCCGAGTGGAACAGTTGCAGACAGCGGCACGTGTTTAAATTTTGCATTGGGGGCAGTGCAAGTGTTTATAATTGACCAAATGTTCTTTCATAACTGGTCAAGGTTAGGGACCGGGTCGGGACACGTTTGCATTTTTAGAAAAGAGAGCATTTGGATTTGGTCTGAAATGCTAAAGACTTTGGATTCTGTTTGTTTCGACCATGTTACAGTTTCAGGTTAGCGTTAGCAACAGTTAGCCACAGGTTTGTTGTTGTATCTGACCTCGGCACGAATGCGTCACTGGACAGAGCGACCGCTAACGATATGAGCTAACATTAGTCTTTTTCACAGAAGCCAACACACCATGCTAACGAGCTAACGCCTCTACGAGCTAACAGACGTGAACAAAACTCCGGCCCAAGCTTTACGGCCTCATTAGTTCTCGCGGTGGAAGGAGGCAGGGTCAGTCTGAGTCTAATCTGCATAGATGGACTACCCTCTTCCTCCTCCTCTCGGGCTACTTCCTGCCTCCCTTCCTTAGCCCCTCCCCTCGCGGCGTCTGAGCTGCGATCATAGGTCGTGGATTGGGTGATTGACAGGAGCGAGCCGCCAATCAGGGCAGAGGAGGAGATGCCAGGGACGCCGTGACGGTTTGGGAATAAAATGGCACTTTCTGGTCGCCGTGGCGAAGACAATTTCTAAACAAAAACACAAAAACGACATCATTGGAGACGCCAAAGTGGGAAACGGATTTGTGTTTTTGTATTTGGGGAGGAGGGGCGGGACTACGGTCGAGGGGGAGGGGCTATGGTCAAGGGATCTGGTCATGTTTGAGTGGGCGGAGTAGTGGCATCCCTGGCATTTCGCTCTCTCTCGAGAAAAATAAAATAAAATAAAAATGCAGTGATTATTATGGAATGTGGCTGTGATCTGGTCTGTGATTGGATGACTCGTCCCATGATCTGGCCTGTGATTGGTTGACTCGTCCTAGCTCATTTGCATGTTTGCGATTCAAGTTTCCGTGTGTTCGATGTAGTTGTTGTTGTCGTTGTTTGTTGTTGTTTTCTCTGCTGGTTGCCGGGGCGACTGGTTGCCGGGTGAGGTCGTTGGCGGCGGTCGTCACGGCGACAGTAAGGGTATGGGGGCGGGTCTTAGAAGCCCAGCGTCCCTCCGATGGTTGAAGCCAAAACCACTCCCAGGATCACACAGCAGATGATGATCATGATCTTCTTCTGCAGAGACACACAGACAAACATATACACTGTGGTATTACTGCAATCCACTTCATTTATAAGTACATTTCATAAACAACGCATACCAAACTAATACAAGTCAAATAGTACTTACACTGGTCCCTGGTCTCTGGTTTATCAGGGGTTAGGTGTTCTAAAGATAACCCAAGTGAAATCCTTGAAGTAGCAGCTCTATGTTTTAAGGCTGTAAAATCCCTCACCAGAGAGAGACCAGAGACAGGCCAGAGAGAGACACCAGAGAGAGAGAGAAAGACCAGAGAGAGAGACCAGAGACAGGCCAGAGAGAGACACCAGAGAGAGAGAAAGACCAGAGAGAGAGACCAGAGACAGGCCAGAGAGAGACACCAGAGAGAGAGAGAAAGACCAGAGAGAGAGACCAGAGACAGGCCAGAGAGAGACACCAGAGAGAGAGA